CACCTCATTGACATTTCACATGATTATTTCATCTTCAAGCATATTTTTTATCCTCTGTTGATTGAATAACTTTTCTTCTTAGTTGCAATTTATGCACATCTGTGTTTCCTTAGATTATTATGTGTGGAGACTTGATCTGCATGACCCTTTTGCCGACAACTGACTTCTTAGTGTCTGTCATTTATTAAATTTACATTAATTCTGATCACATTTGATTTTATAAATCAATGTGTCAGAAAGAGAATTCAAAGTTAAACTTACTTAGAAATACACCTAAACAGTTCACTATAAATAAATGCAGTGACTAATTTATAGTAACTGTTTTAATTTTTATTTGACATTCAAACATGAGTAATATTTTTCTATTAACGGATGGGTCTTAAACTATTAGCATAATGCTTTTTTTTATTTTTTAACAGAACTTGCAATTTAAGATTCAGCATTTTTTTAAAGTTTATAAAACAGAAGAGAGATCCTTTTGTTACATAGTTAGGCTTATCTCATTGAAAATGCAAAGCATTCCAACTAGTCTTAAGTTAATTAGCATTTGAATTTCTTTTTAACTCTGCTATGGCTGCTTAATTTTCCTTCATTGTGAGGGTTAAGGAGCAAGGTTCGCCAAGTGGGCCCACTTTGAAAAAACCCGCCCGGGTTTTATTGGGTGGGCCCACCTTGAAAAAACCCACTTGGAACGATAAGTGGGTTTTTCAAAAAAAAAAGTTTTTTTTTACTAAAACTTATTGTTTCGCATTTACTTTTATATAATTTATTGTGCAGCATAAATTTGTCAAATAGAGTTGCATGATTTATATGATTAAGTTTTTAATATTAGTAAAGTAAAAGAAACTCAAATATTCATATAATTTTATAGTGCTATTGATAACTTCAAGTGGGTTTTTTCAAAAAGTAATATTTTAATGATATTAAATCAAATAAAAATTTAAATAATATAGTCTGAAAAGATCAATTTTTCAAATATAGTTACATGCTTTATATACTAATTAACAGGTAATATAATATATACAGGTAATATAATATATTAAAAAAAAATTGAAAAGAAACAATTTTTTTCTTTATTACCAAGTGATACAAATTTACAGTTTTATTTTCTGGCTTTAAAAAAAAAAAAAGCTTAAACTTTTTATAAGAGAACTTTTTAAAATTATTTATCTAAAAATGAAATCCTTTTCCTATGGTTAATTATTTGAAAACAAATGGGACAAGAAACTGATACTCTTTATAATTATACGTAGTTTTAATTTCACTTTCTATTAATCTTATTATAGAAACATGTAAGACCATTAAATATTTATTTCAGTTTTTTATTTAACTCAAGTCAGATGAAATTTTAGTTTTTACTGATTATAAATATTTACAGATTATAATTTTATAATGGGTAATATCCATATGTTTAATAAATATAGTAAATAAATGTGTGTGAAAACAAAAAGATTAATAAACTTGTTCCTTTTATATTACTGCATTTATATTTTATAATTCTTTAGTTAAAAAATTATGAAACGTAATGTACTTAAAAATAAAGAAGATTCAAATGTGTATTAGTGATAATGCGTTTTTTAAGCTTAATATAAAATACATATAACCAGGGTTCCCCAAATGGGCCCACTTTGAAAAAACCCACTTGGTGTTTTTTATCACATATTGTTTTTTTTAAATTTGGTTCAAAAAGAAGTATCTCCTAATACTATCATTGGACATATTGTTGAAGTTAACAAATATTTTAGAAATGCGCATCAAGCACATGGATGGGCAAATGAAAAAAAAAACTGCTTGATGACCAAATGATACTAGGTGGAATTCATATTGTGAGCGCGTAAGAACTTTTGCCAATAATTACCATAAATATGAAGAGATTGTTCTTGAACAATTTTATATGTCAAAAAAATTAAATAATGGTGAGCTTTACCAATAAACTATCTATTTTGAAAAACAGATATCAATTGTTTCTGAAGCTTTAAAAAAGCTTCAATCAGAAAACATTTCAATTTCAGAACCTATTGAAATATGAATTAACTTACTATCGTGTGATGAATTAGAATCCCATAAACATTTTGTAAAAAGATCAGGCTGTTCAGCCACATCATTTATTAGCATATGCATCCTGGATCCCGAAACAAGGGGACAATTTTTAATGATGAACAAGACCAATTAGCAGAAAACTGTCTTTCTAAGCATCATCCAGAATCAATGATGCTTGACACTGTTATTGAACAGTTTTCATCAAAAAATAGTGGAAAATTATGGCAAAAAAAAAGTAAATAAATAAATAAAATTTCTAGCTTCCACAAAATTTCTGACAATTCTGTTTTCTTTGCGCTCAGCACCAGCATCCTCTGTCTATCGAAAGACACTTTTCAACTTTCTGTTTGGTGCAGAGTAAACTTCGAAATAGATAAAGCTACAAAACTCATAAAAGTGTATCTAAGAGAGAAATGAATCTGTTGTATGATAATAATAATAAAGGAAAATATGGACCTTTTTTTTAAAGTTAACTCTTAACATCTGCTGACAATTTTTAACTATTTGGAGAAAGTTTATCACTATTAGAAAACAGTTAAAAATTAAAATATTACTTTTAAGATTTTTTAAATATTATTTTTAAGATTTCATTTGAATACAATTTATTTTGTTTCTTTTAATCATGTTTAAAAATAATGAAAGCAAACAAATTTTTTTTTTATTAAGTGATACATTAAACAACAATAAACAAATTTAAAGTTTTATTTTCTGATTTTAAAAAAATAAGCTCTAACTTTTTGTATATGCTTTTTTATAATTTTAAGATTAATTTGTTTTTTGAAACTATAAAGTTAAAATGTATCTAAAAATGCATATATTTATCTAAATATTTGAAAAAAGGGACAAGTAACTGATACTCTTTATAATTATACGTAATTTTAATTTCACTTTCTATTAATCATATTATAAAAACATGGAAGACCATTAAATATTTATTCCAGTTTAATTTTATTACGGGTAAAAGTCAGATGAAATTTTAGTGTTTACTTATACAACACTATTTAATAAATAAAAATATTTTCACAGTAAAATTTATGAGCACTAAATGAAAAAACCCAATTTTCCCCGGGTTTTTTCAAACCCTGTTAAAGAGTGAATGATGATCGTTGATATTAAATGGCAGACAATGACAATCCTATCTTTCATTTATGAATAACATATTTTGATTATCTCTCCCAGTTTCCCCCTAAAGTGTAATTCACACCAGTAGTTTTAATCCTTTTGTTTCATAGGTAGTAGACTGATTTATATGTGCTAAATCATTCATGACTTGGTAAAAAAAAATATTCCGGAAAGAAAAATCATACTTCTAATTTTTAAATGAACCCTTCAAAAGCTGCCACTGTTTTTTGCAAATAAAAAAAAAAAAGCAGAACTCGTGCTATGGTATAGAACTTTGGAAACATGTTTTCTAAATTAAGGTATAATACAAATTATTATTTAAAAGGAATCAGGATTTGATTCCATCGTCTAAAAATAGTAAATAAATATATGATCCGTGAGTTTATTAATAAGAGAATTTAATCAAATTTCTCTTAGCATTATTCAAGAATTTCCAAAATTCTAAAGCAACAAATTTGGTAGATAGGATAAAATACTTCTATTTTACACATTTGAGGTCGGTCTGATTATTTTACTAAAAGATGGTTTTAACATGTTTTGTTATTGCAATGATTCTGTTCATGCAGACTTGATTTAAAAAAGCAGCTAATTTATGTATTCCAGTTATTTTATTCGTGGTATCACTGTAAATGCAAACATTTATTTCTTCAAAACCAATTTTATTATTTATTTTAAATTTTTAAGCATTGATAAGATCCTAAAATATAGAATTTCAAACATATTTTGAGATGGGAGACCCTTCTTTGTGTCATTATAATATAAAGGTTCCTTTTTCCTTATAAAAATTAATTTTGTTATATATGATGAATAAATAATTAAGCTTTTAAAATTGATTCTTTGAATTAATATTTAGTGAATTTTTCACTAAAAATATATTAGATTTTTTACTTGTATTTAGTACATTAAATATTTTAAATAGTTTCAATTGCATTGAATTTTTGAAAATTATATTTTATTTGTAGCCAAGGTTGTCTGGTTTAAAACTATTGATTTTTTTAAAAAAACAAACCATGTATTTTTTTTTTAAAAACATAATATTTTTAACACTTAAATATTTTATTATTTACAGTTTTAGCCTGAATAGCACTAACTGAAAAAATATTAAATCTTCTAATAAAGATTTTCCACTTTAAAGTTCTAATGAGAATCTGAATATCTTTAAATAAACATAAATGTATAATTTTTAAATGTTTATTTAATCATAGCTTTCCTGCAAAAATATTTATAAAAATAAATTTATGTAAACAAAATGTTCTAAAAATGCTTAAAATAAAGTATTACCAAATCCATTTTCTGATTATTTTTAAAATTAGTTAAACTGTGTAATTATTAAACAAATAAAATAAAAGTTGGAGAATTAAAAAAAAAAAATCTTTTTTAAACACATTATGCTTGTTACTATCAAAATCATAAATTAAAATGAAGTGCTTGTTTAAGTTTTATATTCTACTGTTTGGTTTATGTTTAAAATTTTTTCTGTTATCAATGAAATATAGATTGTCTATGGTAAGAACTCCCCCCCCCCCACAGTCTGGGGCCATCTGCTGCTATTGAAACAAGAATAGTGCAAACACAATAGATCGAAGAAATAGATTCCCTTTCTTTCGCAGGCCAGAGCAAAAACCTGTTCTAAAAGGTGACTCCACATCCCTACTTGAGATAGTTATACCTTGTTACCATAGTCACTGTCACAGGTCCAGACAAATGGCTAAGTGAGTTCTTACTTTATATATTTGTATCATATAACGATTTTATTCATTTTTGTAATAGTTTCGAAATGCATTTTTTGTATTAAAAAAACAAATGAAACAAAAAATATGCAGAAGTAATTTACAATATTCTCAAAGCATCTCACTTTATTAAAGCAGCATTATGTTAATAGGCAAATGGTAGATCTCTTAGAGGGCTAAAGAAAAATTAGGACATTATTTGATATGCTATACATGTACCAGATAACACGGGCAAATTTTACTGCAAAAAAATATAAAATATACTATTCCAGAGTTGATTTATTTCGAAAAAAAAAAGTTTTAACAATTTTTAATAGAGACTGAGCAACTCTTAACAGTTTGAGATCAATATTTAACAAATTTTAATGGTATGAGTCATTAATAAATCAGTATCAATTAATATTCCTTCAATATTTATTTAAAATTTGCAGCCAAGTTAATTTTTTCAAATAAAATATTTTAAAATGGATTTTCAATAATTTCGAAACAAAAACCAGTGAATATATACGCCTTAGCATTCAAAGGGAATTTTTTGTATAAACTATTAATTAAAATAAAACGATATTAGATTGAAAATTCAAATCTTTCAATTATTCAAACTGACTATTTTAAGAACTGCATTAGTACAGTCGAAAACAGCTATTCTGATCACATACAAATCAGAATTATCAAGTCAAAAAGCTAAAAAAACAACTAAAGTTTTTATCAGGAAAATCAATACTTTCAGGCAGTTACAAATTCTGATGTTATTAAACTTAAAGCTCTGTCATGTTGAAATAAATTGATTAGCAGTTTATTATTAAACCATTAGTACTAAAACTTTCTTTTATTATTTTATATGTAACCCATGTCATTTTTGTACCTATTCATCATTCCATTATTTTCAGGTATTTTTAAAAAATATTATTAATATATAATACATACGATATATTGTTGTAAATATATTAAAATTTGTATTAATTCAATAGATTTAAAGAGACAAAATAAGAAATGTATATTTCATGAAACTTAATACTAATATTATAAATTGTATATTTCTAAATAATGATATTAAATAAATAATGCTGAAATATTAGACACAAGCATAGAGAGGAATTACTCTTTAACATATATTACTAAAATAAAATTTAAATTTCAAGTGAGTATAAAGCAATATAGAAGCATGTTTAAGGTATTCAGTTTCTTTTTTTTATGTTAGCAGGGCTGCTACAAGTGAATGTAAAAAGTGGTAAAAACTTAATTCATTTTTATTAATTTATCATCTCTTTAAGTATTCAATCATAACTACCACTAATGACTTACATTTCATATTATTCATATTCAGAGCAAACACATTCTTTACATTCACTTTCAATAGTAATCTGAAGAAAAAAAATATTTGATTAAAAGTTACTAATTTTAATCCCTTTCAATAAAATTTTGAATTTTAATTAGTCATCCCTTTTTGGTCGCTCGTGGCAGCTATGTTTTAGCATTTTAAGGAACTGAAGTGTATATTTTTGAATTGTTCTTAAAAACATAGATTAATAGTTAAATGGAACAGTTAAGTATTATGAAATAGTTTAGTTAATTTCAATTGAGGGCTTAAAATATTATTCAACAAAGTTATTAAATAAAACCTGGTTTTAACCAAAAAACCATGCTTTTTATTGAAAAAAACTTTTTTTTTTTAACCCTGTTTGTTACCATTGTAAATTTTAAAGGTAGAATAAAACTAAAAGCAATTAACAATGTTTTTAATGAATTTGAATAACTGATTCTATCGAGTGAAGCTTTGACAATAAAATCACAATTTTAAATTAGGTATCTACATATAAATATAGTTATTGTTCTTTATGCATCTTTTATTTTTCTAGATAGATCACCAGATTCAGTCAAAAGTTGTTTTACATCCTTTGCATCTAATGTTTCATATTTTAGCAATGCCTCGGCAATTTTCTTATGCTCTTTGTAATGAATCTTAAGGATGTTTCTGGCTCGTTCGTATGATTCGCTAAGCAATCTTTTGATTTCAGAATCTATGTTCTCAGAAGTGGTGGATGAAAGTTCACTCACAACAATAATGGATCTATTATCTTCATCAAATGTTCGTACTCCAACTTTTTCCGACATACCCCATCCTTTAACCATATTTGTGGCAATGGCAGTAGCTTGTTTTAAATCACTTGATGCTCCTGAAGTAATTTTGTCTGATCCAAATATTAGTTCTTCAGCAACTCTTCCTCCCATTAGAGTATCCAATTGGGCAAGCATTTGAGATTTGGTCACGTGATAATGCTCTTTCTCAGGTATATAAGCAGTATGTCCTAAAGATGGACCTCTTGGTATAATAGTTACTTTATGTAGAGGGTGAGAATCTTTGGTGTAATGAGCAACAAGAGCATGTCCAGCTTCATGGTATGCTGTAATTACGTTAGCCTCTTCATCTGGAATTCTCGACTTCCTCTCAGGGCCCATTAACACCTTGTCTCGGGCATTTTCCAGATAACTCATAGTTACTGAATGTTCTTGATCAATAGCAGCTCTTAATGCAGCTTGATTAACCATATTTTCTAAATCTGCACCAGTGAAGCCAGTTGTTCCTCTGGCAAGCATGTCAACATCAACATCTTGTGCCATTTTTACCTTCCCAAGATACAACTGGAGAATCTCCTTACGGCCATTTAAATCTGGAACACTAACAGTAATTTCTACATCAAATCTACCAGGCCTCAAAAGAGCTTTGTCTAAATCATCTCTTCGATTAGTGGCACCCAAAACTATAACACCTTCATTTTGTCTAAAACCATCCATTTCAGTAAGCAACTGATTAATTGTTTGATTGGCATAAGGGTGCAATAACGAATTACTACGTTTTGCACCAACAGAATCAATTTCATCAATGAATATTACACAAGGTGCTCGAGATTTAGCCCTTGCAAAGAGATCTCGAACTCTACGAGCACCTTGTCCAACTAAAATTTCATCAAATTCAGGGCCTGCAGCATGAAAAAATGGTACATCAGCTTCACCTGCAACTGCACGAGCCAAAAGCGTTTTACCAGTACCTGGTGGTCCAACAAGCAACACTCCCTTAGGTAGCTTTCCACCTAAAGCTGAAAACTTATCTGGATTTTTCAGAAACTCTACAATTTCCTGTAGCTCCTGTTTAGCTTCATTTACACCTTTAACATCATCAAAAGTAACATCAATTTCTTCCGGATAAACTTCATTTGCAGTTCCCATAAAAACTCGACGAAAAGACCCACTCATAACAGATGACAGAATATACAATATAAGAATAATACCCAATAAATCTCTAAATATATTAAATATGCTGACTTTTGAACTCGCTTTATCTTTAGTATCAGCAGCACTATAGCCTTCTGCAAATGCTATGCGAAGTCTTTGTTGTTCATCTACTGTTAAACTTTCATCTGAAAGCAGAGTTTTTAATTTTGCCTGTTGATCAACAGCAGCTTGGCTCTTTAATTCTTTGCTTTTCCAGCCGCCAAAGAAAGGGAGACGATCTTTCCAAGATAAAGAAACAGATGAGCTATTGGATGAAGTACGCAAACCGCCACATTTACTAACACTTCTAGTTTTGAACCCTCTAGCAATAGGATAGTGGAGGACATTATATTTCAGACGTAATAAGCTGACACCATTTGTTAACATGTTTTTATGACATAACTCTACTTCTGGAAATCCATACTTATTTTCAAAGAAAGTTGGATTTGATGAGTAAAATACAGGATGCAGACTAACCCCTTGATCAATTAAGTTGATCTTGTATTTTTCAATAAGATACGAGTGTATATTTATGAATGCAGGATCAACATTCATAAGAACTTCTTGAAAACTCTCAGGACATATTATCAGACATTCATCAGATTTGCTTTCATGCTTCCTCTCCTTAAACTTAACACTTATTTTATTGACATAACTCGACAAGATTGTTGCGAAATTTTTTAAAGGAGCAATTACTTGTGGCAAATAATGAATTGGAGTTCCAAACTGAAGCATGTTTAGTCTTTGAAAGGACAAACAAAATCTGTCGGGTCGGTGATGAAATATGTAATGAAAGTCGTGTTATATAATGAAATTATGCAACCCTTGAGGTAGTCATTATATAATTTTTTTAAATAACAACTATAGTGTAAATAACATTTCTGAAGGGAAATAAGATTATATAACGTTACTGGTAGACATTTAATTTAAAAAGGCCAAATTAAAACACAACACAACAAATAACATCCAACGGAGGAATAACGCTACAAATACAGTTAAAATTACATGCTTTTTTTTTTTAAACGCTGGCGAATTTTATTTTAAAACACAAATCATACTGTAATAAATTATTTTTACTTACTATCAAATGTGAACAAATTCACATTCATCAACAAACAAATTATTATTATTTAAATTTTTACGTTTTTAAAAAAAGTAAATGTTGGTTTGGCAACAAAACATACATTAAAATCAAAACTAGTCAGGGAGATTTTGAATTTATATGAAGCCCAGTTCCGAATTATTACTTTCTGAAAAACGTGCTTATATAAATCTTGATTTGTTAAGGGAACAAAATTGCATATTCTTTTATACTTTAAGATATCACTCAAAGCAGAAAATTCCATAATTCTTTTTTCATAAAATACTATTATTTAGGTACATCTCTCATCATTGCAACTCTTATTTTAAGCTTTGACTTATAAATTTAAGTATTTAAGAGAGAATAATTTATGAAGTTCTTTAATTGTATTTACATGTATAGTTATCTGTGGCAGAATTATAGCCAAGTCTTGGAAACTTCCTTGCAGTGGCCCGTGAGAAACTAAAAAAAACATCGCAGAAAGGGACCAACTCGAAAGGTGTAACTCGTAGACACCCCCGGGCAAACATCTACATTTAAAAAAAAAAAGAAAAATTCTAGTTAAAAAAATTGCATCTATTTGGCATCTTGGCAATTGTAGTTAGTTCCTTTAACAGTTATCTGTACCATCTTATTGTTATTTTTCTTACTAAATTCAATTTCAAATTGTACATTTATTTTTTGTTTCAGTTCTTTGTTTTATAGTATTAAATTTATATTACTTTTCTTAATTTTTTACTTGTGAATAAGAAAAAAGTAAAAATGGGTGAAAAACCAGGGGTCTGTCTATTCCAAATTTACTACCGTTTAGCGGTACCTTCACAAATTCAAATTTAGGGAAAACGGTAGTTTCGCAAAATACTTTTTCTTACAATTTTATTTTTGTATGCCGTAAGAAGCGATAAATTCATATTTTTACCATATTTTTGTGTTGAATTTTTAATATAATTCTTAATTTTCACAAATTTTGTCTTAAATTTTTATAAAATAGGTAACTCTCAGAAAAACCTAAACCGACCCCAGAAAACATTTTGAAATGAATATGGGTTTACAATGGAGTTGTTGTCAACCCTTATTCTTTTCAAAATGTTTGTCACCCATTGAGAAGTGATAACTTTAAGTTAGGCATTAAGAAGTAATAACTTAAATTCAAAATTCATTCATTGTAATAATGTTTTGAAAATATTGGTGTTTGAAAAGCCACGTGGAAAAGACGAAAAAAAAACAAAACAAAGTAACTGCCGGAAAAAAAATCACTCAATTAAGTGAAGTTATGATGGAATCATCACAAATCAACTATGTTAAAAAGTAATCTCTCAAATTCTAAATTTGAACAGAGTAATAAACTTTAAAAACCATGTGAAAAGGATCGAAAAAGTGACAAATAATTTGAAAAGAATATCATCGAGAGACATGAAATTAGGATTGAATTGTCTGGAATCGAACAGATCCAAAAGTGATAACACAAATTTCAAATTTGCATGTAGTAATAACTTTGCAATAAAAATATCAGAATGTCAAAAACCATGAGGAAAAGACCAAAAAATTTGTAAATAACTTCTGAAAAGAGTAATATTAAGAAATTATGATAAAATCATCATAAAGTAAATGTTATTTTAAAAATATAGGAATTTGAGAAACCATGCGAAGAGGGCTGAAAAAATAATAACTGCCTGTGAAACAATTGTCAAATGACAAGAAGTTACAATGAAATCATCTTGAATGGAACACATCAAGATAGTGTTACAATGAAATCGTCTTGAATGGAAGGCATCAAGATAGTGGTAGCTCATATTTGAAATTCGCATGCTTTTTGTGATTGTGAGGCCTATTCTACTCAAAGATTTGAGCATTTAGGGCGGCATTGCGTCAAAACCTGGGAACTGCGAGATGTTCCTGTAAGGTGCTTGCTGAATTTTATTTCAGCTATAGGGTTTTCATGCTAATCATGATTTAGGGTTTGGGTACAATAGACCTCTAATCTATGTGCCCTGCTCTTTCGAGCTGCCCAATCTAAGTCTAATAATAAATGTGTTAAATTTATTAAAATTTTAAAAACAGTAAAAAAAATGTCGTTGAAGCAAATAATTACTGCCAAAAAACGATCAGAAAACAAAGTAGATCTCCAAAAATATCGGCACAAATGAAATAAACCTTTTTTTTTTATATTAGGGATGCATAATCAGTTTCAAAGGGCATGCAGGCCGGAAATTTTTCATTCAAACAGAAAACAGAGTAACCTGTCCTAAAAACCCATTCCTGAATAAATACTGGTTATTGTTTCATAATATTAAAATTTTCAGTTAATTTTAGAAAAGTTATGCAATTAACTTGGTATGTATGAAATAATTTTAGCCTATTAATTTGATTAATTAAGTATGTTTTCAAATTGTGTAATTTATTTTAGATTTTATCATGTCAAATGAAAGTGGTATTGAAGATCCATTAAAGCCTTCAACAAAGTCATCGTTGCTTCCATTTGTATGTCATTTTTAATAGATTATTTTATCAGTTTCTATATCTTTGTGAAACAAATTTTCAAGCAGTCAAAATAAATATTCCTTATTGTTTATACATATATTCAAGCACTGAATGTTTTTCCTACAAAATACATTTCTAATTTTACACTACTTTTTTACATGAAGACTAATTGGAATTATATAGTATTTTTTTCTATTTTAAGATAGTAAATTTATATTAATTAATAAAATGAGAGTACTAATCCATTCCGGGATCCATAAAAATTTATTACCCAATTGCCTACAAAAGTATTTTTGGTAGCTATTACCACAAAATTTATTACCAGAATACCAGTAGCCTCTCTAAGAGCTCTTACCATAATAAGTAAAGTATCACCGGCATCAATAACAGCTTGGAAATTTTTTATGACTCCTGAAAACTGAATAGTACCTAAATAAGTTAATAAGTCTTCAAAATCTTTAAGTACACAATGCAACCTATTTTATTACCATTCAGGTTTATATTTGTTTGTTTGTTTATAATTTATTTAGTTGGTTGTGTTTTCTTCATCAACATTGTGCTAAAAATGGAATGAAGTGTTGCTAAAATTTCTACTTACAATTTGATAATTTAGTTTAAAACAGAAAGGAATGGGATGATAAAATAATTAATCTTTTGTTATTGAATAAATATGATTATGTTTGTTTGTTTTACTATGTGGTATAATTAACTAGTTATTTTTCCTTTTTAAAATAGTAAACATTTAAAATATATGTATTCAATGTAATTGCAAATAAGCAATGCCAAGTGTCCAGTTGTTACTATTGCAATTACACTAAGAAATTACATATGCTCACCTTGCTTAATTCATGAATTCTCTGAAGAAATGCTCATTTTAAATCCTCAAATCTTAGATTTGTGAGTGCAGCTCGATATATTTTTTTTATAACTTAAACTTATGAGTGTGTGTGACCTCCTAGAAAAGAGAAGACCTTAGCACGGGTTACCATAAACAAGAAATTTGATCCTTTAGTAGTTCAAAGGTAATGACATCTTTCGTTTTTTCCACCACTGCGCAACTTAGTAGCCCAAACGTAGTGACAGGGTGGCCACCCACCTTGAAAACCTGGAATTATCAGGGAATTTTTTTATACTGGAAAAAACCTGGAAATATCGGGGAGATTTGGATAAAAACCTGGAAAAATCAGGGAATTTTAAAGAAAAGCTGGAAATTTTTTCTTGCATAATTTTTTTAATTTCTCTATTTTAAATTATTTACTAATTTTTTTAATTTAAATCATTTCATCCATTATACCCACTTTTTTTTAACGGAAATGTATCGCCAAACAGTTGAAATATCATCAACTCAGCACTACTTCGCTTGCATCAAAATTCGCTCCATTACAGCTCGGTTAAACTAGAATGCCAAAATTCTCCCACGATTGCTAAATGAATGTAGAAACCTTTGACCGCTGAGGGACTGTGCAATTTAGAAAGATTTTGGTGAAGGTGGAAAAAGGGATTAGGATATTAGCTTCTGTTTTTAAATTCTGTCCTTGGGCTGAATCCATTTATGGCTCAAGTTTGTTCCGATGCTTTGGTGGTAATTTTTTTTCTTTCTATTTTGACGAAATGTTTTCATATTTTTAACTTTGTAAAATTCTACAAAGATTAGTTGGTTATAATTTAATAATAATAGATTTTACATTGCACTCTTTTTCTGAAGTCTTCACTCTTTTTTCCCATTCAAAGAAATCTGTGAATTATTTTTTTCAGCAAGCCAACCAATCACACATTTCTTTACAATCGCTCAAAGCAATGTTTGTCTACAAATCGTTACAATTGTTACATTAATGCTAATTTTTTCTATTCCATTTTAACCTTTTATAACATATTTTAATTTTAAAAGAAGATTTTTTTAAGAACCAATTATATATTAATATCTAATTTTACTCTTTTGTTGGTCAATGTATGATTTTTGATTCAAAATTTTGTACCAAAATATTAAAAAATAAATGAAAAGTCTTGCCAAATTGTCAAAATAAATTTTGTTTTTTCAAAATGATATGTTAAAAAAATNTATGTAAATCAACACGTTAAACATTAAAATTAACTGAAAACAGAGTTAGTTTCAGTTTTAGAAGTAAAAATCGATTATACGACGTTATCGTTTATACGACGTTTTTCGGTGGTCCCTTCGGCGTCGTATAAACGATGCTCCACTGTATATATATTTGTTAATCTGTTTCAAACAAAAAAATCTTTATTTTTAATGCTATTTCCCTTCTCTTAATTTTACTGTTTATTTGCTGATTTTCCAGACCGTAAGTGCAAATCTCCCATTTATCAATTTTTAAAAGCAAAAGTAAATTCAAATTGAAGCAGAAAGTTATTTAATATTGTGTTGTCAGATTGGTTGCTCGTTTGGAGATGCATACTGATGTATGAAGGGGTTCGTGGTAGTACAGCTGAAGTCTTGAGGAAAAGTCTGCTTTCTTTAGTCTGCAAACAGTAGCAGACAAATGCTAAGCCGCTTAATATTTTCTTTCAGAAAATAAATTTACATATGTTAGAAAAGTTGAGCATTAGCCTTTCCATATGATTTTTTCTTTGGTTTTGTTCTGTCCTGTGATTTTATGATTGTCTTTTGAATGATGTAATGAAATACAAAAAACATCTAAAATTTTTAAAAGAAAACAAAATTTAAAATTTTTTAAGAATTAAATTTTTTTTTCAAAATTCAATTAATTGATTTAGTACATATTTAATAAATTTTTTTTAGCTATTTGTATTTTATTGATGTACTTAAATGTTTGTTTTGCATTTTAACTTCATACAATATTCTTTTATAGAAACTAAAGTGGGTATTTGGATATCAAACAAGGGTCTTCCCTGTGAGTTTATCTTCTCCATCTCTGAAAAATGTTTTCTTTGTTGCTGGTTCTACAGGAATTTGTTATGATTGGATTAATTGCACACAGCATATGTTATTTGGTCATGTAAGTTTTTATTTTTAAAATAGTTTTAAATTTTATTAATAATATTTTGAAAAAAAAATTATTAATTAATTATAATTAAAATTAATTGTTAATTATAAAATTAAAAATATTTTGAGTTTCCAATTGTCAAAATATATGCAAATGCCAAATTCTCCACTTTTTTCAAAATATTTAATATAATAGTAGAGAATTAAAAACTATAATACTAAATTTTGAAGAATTTTACTTTTCTCAACTTTTTTAAAGGTTAACCACGATGAAGTTGTTCTAAAGTTGCATTTTATATGAGAAATATTTACATGTATTATTAAATAACTTTAAATCAAATAATTATACTCTGTTCATTGAGGATTGATAGCAGAAATAAGTATATAGGTTTGTTGTTTATAGTAGCTGAAATTACCTAGTACTTCTGTTGGTTTCTGGCTGAATTGGTAATTATACCTGAATTGGTTACTAAACAGAATAGAGCTCAAGGTTTGCCATAACCTTGGCGCCATTCATTCAAAGATAATGTTCAGTTTTCACTAAATAATAAAATGTAAGACTTAATTTGTATTTTTACAATATAAGTTTTGCCTGCAAAGTAGTCTAGTAAGTTAGCTTTTTTGAATGTGTATGTATATAGTATTTATATTTTGGAATTGCGTGGTATGTTTTCTGATATACCATTTTTCTACTTCATGTTTATGTTTATATATATATATATATATTCATGTTTTACCAACTTTCTGATATATTGATATCGTATAATGATTTCTAAAATTAAATACATTTTTTTTTTAAAGAAAACTCTTTTAAATGTAAAAAAATTTAAAAGGTATTTTTTTTTTGGTATGAAAAATATGTAGTGAAATAAAAAAGGGGCAAACAAGAAATATATTAGGTTAAAGTAGGTTCTTTTTCTATTATGAGGATAGTAGATACATAAGGAATTCAAGATTGTTTGTAGTATCAAAATTTGACATATATAGTTTTAATAAATTTGTTTATAATAAAATTTAAGTGATCAATTCTTTTTTCAGACCACTGACATAACTTGTGCTACAGTTAGTGAAAATAAGACTTATTTAGCTACTTCAGCAAGTGGATCTGAAAACACAATTATTGTTTGGAATTTAAAAACAAAGTAAAAGTGTCTTATCTATCTAGAAAAAAAATATCTTAGTTATCTTTTTATAGTGTATGTTTCATTCTAGGAATTTAGTTGACTATGCTATGGCAAATAATTGGTTGTATAAGATTTAAAAAATGTTTAAAAATGCATTACACTTAGAAGACGTGCTTACTTTTTTTAAAAAAAAAAAGGTATTAGTTAACTTTTATTTTTATTCTTAAACTATGACAGTATTAGACAATTAGGCTTTAGGATAATAAGAAGTTGAAATTTTTTTAGTCGTATTTTGTCGTATTATTACGTACATAGTTTAGTCTTATTATTACATACACATGGAGATTCTTTAATCGTTTCTATCAAAGCAAGTTTTAATTAAAAAATGTATTTATTTCATTTAATTAAATTTTTATTAAATCTACTAAAATCTCTAGTTACTCCTTTATACAACACATGCTATAGTTTTAACCCGACCCACGATATTTTTGTAAGTAATATGTTTTTGTTTGTAAGAAATAGAATGTAATTGTATATAAGGAAAAGCACATAGGTCAGTATATTGTAGTTTAAAGATACCTGAATTTTAGTCAACAAAGGTTTATATTGTATATATATATTTTTAAACAAATATTGCTAATTTTTAAGTTTTGATTGACAATTAAAGATGTAATGCTTCTTAATGCTTAAAATTCTATATTATAGACACAGAAATTATTAAACAAAAGAGATTTGAAAGCACTTTAGAATTTTTGAATCCTGCTAATTAATTATCTCGAGGAAAATATTAAAAAAAAAACTCTTTTAGATTTTTTCTTTTATTGTAAATTTTTTTTTATTTCCATTCATTCTATTTTTGTGTTATTTGTAATTAGGAATAAGATATTTTGCCTCTCTGGATATTTTTCTGTGGAAAGTGTGATATGGATTACATTTTCTTTGAATAACAATATATTGATGACTTTAAGTGATGGAAAACCACAAGTAAACTACATTTTCTGAATTTATATTTCAACACTTTCAATAATTTTAATTTTAAATTCAGAAATGTTTTCTTTTATATCTGTTTAAAAATGTTTTATTTTATTTCTGGTTTTGTTTTTAATGTTGCGCTAAAGCTGTGCTAATAGCCTATTGGCAATGACCTAGCATTCATTTTTAATGATGGTCCAAAAATTTTGTGATTTATAATTTGTTTTCTTTTGAGTTATAATAAACATTATTTTTTTCTTTAATTAGGGTCTTGCTTTATGGGAATGGAAATCGCAAAGTACAACTCCCTTTTGTTCATATAAGTTTAAAGCTAATAAATTTCAGGTGAATATTTCCTTAGCAGATTATTTGTATTAAAGTGACATTTTAATTTATTTCAATATTTGTAATTGTATTTTGCAAATGAATGGTTCTAATTCAAGTTGTGGTGTTAGTGCTAAACCTTATATTCCTAGCAAATGGTTAAAACTTAATGTGGAATTTTGTAAAGTTTCAAGAATTAAGTATTCAATATAAAATAAATGTGTGTATAAATAAATAAAAAACAACTAAAGCAATTATTTTTATGCTAATCGTTAAAAACATTTTAATATAACATAGTAAAAAGTTTTAAGTGATACATAATAAATGTTTATGTACAGTGCTTTCAATACAGAAAAAAAATGGGAGAGAATTTCTCACCCTTCCTCAAAAACAGAGTGAGATTTCAAAAAGTTAAGTGACATTTCTAAAAACTAAAAAAAAACACGAGTAGACTTGAAAAAAAAAATTTCTTTAATTATAATACATTTTTAACATCTTATAATTTCTAAACCATTGAATATTTTCTGCATCATCGTATGGAAAATGTTCTATATTTACTTTTTCATCAGCTATTCTCATTAAGTTGCTCAAATGCTCATCAGTCAATCTGTTACAATATTTTGTTTAATTCGGTTTTAGGTGCTAAGTGACCTTGCAACAGATGCTGAACTATTCGGAATCACTAATTAAATTTGTTGCATTTGTGCTCACATTTTCCTATCCTCTACATCTACCAGCATAGGGTTTTCAATTATTTCTGTTTTAGAATAGTGAAGTTCGTTGAAGTTATTTCCATGTTCATTCTTTTTGTTAGGTCTTCCTGTATAGTTTTCACAGACTTCAACTTTTATAAATTGCTGTAAATTGTCGATGAGGAAGTTTGGTAAATCATTAACAACTAAAAACAGAGCTAACTTTAAACAACTATGTTTAAAGTAGTTGATAAAGGACTCATTTTTTTTCCTCAACACTTGTCGTAGCTGTTTTCATGTTTTTTTCAAAATGGCGAAAAAGAAATTTTTTCCAAAATTCGAGGGATTCGCGCATTTTAAAATTAATAGAGTGCACGAACTTCTCACGTTAATAATTTTTTAATGCGAGAAATGAAAAAAATATGCGAGATTCTCGCGTTCTCGCTCTGTAGTGAAAACACTCATGTATATTATAATGCATATTAAAATCTGACCCATTTCTTGGGGAAGACTCTGAACAAACCATGATTATGATGTATATGAACATTTTTATGCAACTACTTTTGTGTTTATCTCTGAAGAACTTTCTACAATAAGGAAGAAAAATTTTTTAACATGCAAAGCTGAAGTGGAATTTTGTTATTAAAAAGAAAGTGCTTAAAAATCTTTTTTTGAGTGCTTAAATAAAGGGCTTATTTTTTGTTTAAAAATTTGGTTCAACTCTATGTTCATTCGGGATAAACTAAATTCTAATGCAAAGTAAATTATTAATCAAATCTTATAACATTCACCACCAATATTTTGAAGGTCTCTCCCAATTTGGTTTATAATGAGGTTATCTCTATCTTGCATCTGCGATAGATCTTGTTATTTAGCGAAATGAGTTCCTAGGTTTTTCTGAAAATTTTCTTTTGACCATGTTATCAGAGCAAAAACACCATCCAGGAGTTAACAGTTCGTCTAATTTTGAGGGCTGAAAGAACAGAAAAAAAGACCCCAAAAGAATAATGTTAGTAAGTTAAAATTTTAAACTCTGGGCAATAATGATCTGATTAATCGGCCCAGTTCTTATTTCAAGAGTAACGAATAATGAACTGATTGAGCTATAAGAGATGGTATTGGGGTGCTGTTGCGTGATATTTGCAAACTTCAATACCACTCTCAAACTGCAGAGATATGCCTTAAATTAGTCGCAGAAGAAGCAGCGATTCAACTGTGTAATGATTCGTTTAATTACAATTCTTGTAATTGGGCAGTTATAACTATTTTCACTTAAGCTTTTTTATAGTATTTTATTGTTACTCAAGATTTCTTACTGATAATATAAAAATTTTGCATTGAAATTTAAGAATTTTCTATAATTCTTGTACTAACTCTTGTCAATAACTCTTGAAAATTTTTCACTGTTGTATATTGAAATAAACATTCAAACATGTGTTAAAAATTGAACTAAAATGTTCTGTTAACACCTTGTCATTTTGGTGTTAAATAGGATCCTCAAAATACTGTCTGATTAATTTAAAATTGTGCATAACCCTAAATTAACACCTAATTCAACTTTATTTTACTATTGAATATTATGAGAAATATTTGAGTAAATGATATCGAAATGCTCAATTTTTTGATTTGCTTGACTTTTTGTGCAATAGTGAACTCGCAAGATGTTTTTCAAAAATTCTTAAATTGGGTATTTTTCTTACTTAACATTAAATGCAACTTTTAGTCACTATTGGATTTTGAGATTTGATTTTTTTTTTTAACTGTACCTTATTATTTATATTAAATGAAAGAAAATTACTTTCTGTTTTTTAGCACCATGTGGTGTTTCACCCTAATGACTCTTCTCATTTTGCTTCTACAAGTGAAGATAATGTTTATTTTTTCGAAAAGGTTTGTTCATTTTATTGATTTTGTATCAGTTTCATTTCAGACAAAAAATTTTAGCTTTTTTAATTTTGTGTTAATTACGCTTTTCATCATAAATATCATTTCAAGTAAGCCGGTATTAAATGATATACGCTAGGCAATTTTATTTGCATACTTTAATGTCAATTGTTGAGATGTCATCTTATTACGGTCATGAAAATCTTAATATTTCTGATATCAGTTTATATTTGATTTATGAGAAATTCACACAGCTCTGAAATTGGTTCATGATTCTTATTTTCGATTTTCGTTTTTAAAAGCTTTTAAAGGTGCTTTTTTTATTGGGTGTTTCTAAAAAGTGCTTAATTTTCCCTTTTTGAAAATGGGATTTTTTTCTTTACCTTGTCGATTTTTGCCACGTATTGTGCGAAGGCGTGCTTTTTACACAGTTCTATTCAACGTTTTAACAATTCATTCAACCACAATCTATTTCGGCGTACCGTCGGTCCATAGTGTATGAAAGCGCCAATCATTTTACATGTTTGAGGAAATACAGTAGAGAACCAATTAACCGGGATGCTCGGGACCATCGCAATCCCGGATGTCTGAATTTCCCGGTTTTCTGGATCGGTCAAAAGTGCGGTCAATGGATGTTTTATCAAACCCAAATTACAAGGAAAAAGTTAAACATATTTAAAAACAGGGAAAAAACGAAAAGATCTCCTAAATTAAAGAAAATGGTAGAAAAATAACATTTAAAAGGATAAAAACATTTGCAAATTTAGACAAGAAAAACAAGTTGAAAAAATACAAAATTTGCATTTTTATTTTTTGATAATAATTGAAATCCCCAAATTAACTAATATAAAACAAAACCAATAATTAAAAAACGCAATATATTTCATACCTAATTATACTGGCGGGGGAGGATGAAAAGAAAACTTATTAATCTAAATAAAAACAACACTTGAAAATTATGGAACGGAAACGATATTTAAAAAAGGCACTAATATAAGTATTAAAATCTGGAAGAGACAGGATATAAGATAAACGGAATTAAAAAAAAAAAAAGAAACTTAATGATAAAATTTATTAATAAAAAAAAATTATTTATTGAGTACAAAATTTATCCTAAAAGAAAAAAAAAGAAAAAAAATTAAAATTTAAAAAAGAAAAAGAAAAACTTCTATCTTATTTATAAAATAATCCCTGCTTTTATTAACAAATAATTATATGCTTAAATTAATAAACAATCTTCTCCTTTTAGTTTATTTTTTTATTAAAAGACTATTTTTAAAGAAAGCAGATGTGATTGCACATCAAGAAAAACTTTCTAATGATATCGCATTTCTAAGAAATCAGAATTTATTCAACAAAAAAATATTGTTTTGTTAATTGATGTCAAATGGATGAATATAACTGGTGATTAAATAATGCATTATCGGAAATAATAAAACAATTCACCATAATAAATAACAAAACTGAGTAACTGAAGTGGATGATTTAAAATAAATCTCACATTTCACCTTTAAAATCAATACTCTTAGCCAGATGTTTCAAGTTCCTTAACTCAAACATTCATTGCTATGCCTGTGCAATGAATTTTCCCCACCCCCTCGTAAATCAAAGAGAAAACGAAATCAGCTTGCCACTCCTTTAAGTTTGATTGATGGCAGCTTATCAGAAAAAGAAAATAAGCACAGGAGAAAATAAAACATTTGTTCCTTCCCTGTCCCCTCTGGATCTAATGATCTTCAAGGTCAGGGTAAGAATTGAAGTTCCTCTGGGCAAGTGAGGAGAAGAATTCCCCCCTTTCCCTCTACTCAACTTTAAGAATGAGTCAAATTTCCGCTTTTTGCTTTTTTTTTATTTTTTATAATCATTATAGTACTTTAAAACTGTTTCATTGTGCAACTCTGCTACATTTTGCAAGATATTCTAAATTTCAGACTTCATTTTCCACTCTGTGATATCAAACCGAAAAGTCTCTTGATCATTTCATAATGGCTAATATAATCAAGAAAAGAGTTCTTCGTCAGAAACTAGTTATTTTATAATGGTCATGTAAAGTCTTTGAGAATTATTTTGCATTTTATAAATGTATATAATGCTTAAAAATATTTTTTAAGTTCTTAAAAAGCACTTGAAAGGTGCTTATTTTTTGTTGAAAGATTTGGCTACGCACCCTGTCGTTACTTGTCTTAAAATTTATAAAAAATATAGTTATAACAATATTTTAATTTTTTGTTCTTATTTATTTTAGCACTATTTTAGTACAATGATACTTAATAAGTGAAACACCTAGAGATAGACTTTAGTTGTAGCTTTGATTTTTTTCATGCAAATATGTAAAAACACATTAGAAAATTATGTTTTCCACAATTCAGATATTGCTCATCGGATTGCTTCAAAATTAAGAATTAACAGAATGTGTTTTATTTAAACAATCTCACATTATGTTTTTAAGGAATAACATTTCCATCTGAAATATAAAATAATATACTTAAAGTTAAGCTGAAGATTTTGTGACCCAGCTTTATCAATGAAAATGTAAGTCTTTTGAAATTTGAGATTATATAGCTCTATCTTAAATTAATAAAAAATATTATTTTCTTTAGAAACTCTTAATGTTAATAAATATCAGAAAAAATATATGCTGAGTATTTTTTGGTAAAATTAGCAAAATTTATTTATTTATTTTTATTATAAAAGAGAGTAGTAGTTTTTTTGGGATATTTTTATTTTTTTTATTTCATAATATTTAGAATTTAATTGAATCCTTTTTTACAGAATGAAAATGGTTTATTGTCATCTGCTGTAGATTTAAAAGCTCTGTATGATGAGGTATATATTTATTTACATTGAGGTTTTAAAATTTTAATTATAAAATAAATTATAGAACAATTTTCATTGTTCAATAGTTTTTTCAATCGAATATATTTTTAGTAAATATATTTTTCAATAAAATTACATTCAAAGATTTCAAAATTCATTCATTTAATATACTTACTAAATTAAAATAATTTAGTAAATATATTTTTCAATATATTTTAAGTGGTTCTAGTGCAATATAATTGTTATGTAATCTAAATATTAAATGCCCCTAAATAGTTAAGTATGTCATTTTAAGTAATTGAAGATTATTAATCAGTAATTAAGTAATTGAAGATTATTATTAGTCATGCTATTTTAAGTAATTGAAGATTATTAATTAGTTTACCTTAGTTTGGTTAGAAAACTTAGTAAATTGTATGTTATTATGATTTTCTTAAAAACTGAACCATTTCCTAATTTTTTTGATCAAGTTGGTAATAATTTACTCTTAAAAATATACATGTTATAAAAAATCTTAGCTGCTATATTTTTTAAAAAGACTTTTAGGATAGTGGTGCAATTTTTTTAAAAACATATGTAGTTTTTATTAAACCAAAATTACTGATATAACTTGTCTATATTCATAGAAAATGTGTTTAAAGGCTGGAAAATTCACTCAGACTGCTTTTAGTGTAATGTCATCTTTGGCCTATACTGGAACTTCTAAAGGCAAAATTGTTGTTTGGGGACTTCCTCTCTACAAAACAAAAACAGGTACTGTGGGCTCCAATTGATTGTAATTTTATAAATCATACCAGTTTAAAGTAGTTAGTTACTTTATCTGTAGAAAGTTCAACATCATTACTGACAGTAAATCCAGAAGAGAGAATATGTCTTCGTATGGTGCAAGTTATTACAAGCAGAAGTAGTATTTCCTTTCTGACTGTCATTAAAGAAAATATTGTTATTGGAACTCAGGATAGTCATATTTGCTTTTACAGTGAAACTTTTAAATTAATCTGGTAATATTTTATTCATAATTATGTTCAACCCCACAAATTTAGCACTCTGCTAATTTCTGTCTGTATTATCTCAGCAAGTTGCATTTTTTTTCATATTTTGTTTTTTTCTTGTAAAAATCTCTTACTTACCTCATACTCTCAAAAAACTCATGTAAAAAACTTTTTTACTCATGTGAAAATGTTCCATTTGATTATTTATTCACTGAACTCAAAATGAACAAATAACTGCAAAGTATAAAACTGCGAAACAAATAAACACAGTGCATAAAGCCACAGAAACGTCTGCAACTGACGCACACGAGAACGAGGCTGAAACCAGTATGCACTTGCTCGTGCATTAATTGGTTAACATTGTATTGCAATACTTTAAAAATCAATGCAAATAGGAAGTATATAAAAGATCTGAATAAAAACCCATTATATGTATGTTTAAATATAAAAGTATTGCATATAAACTCATGCAAAAAAAGTAATTATTAAAAAATTACAGTGCGTCTAATGATTTGGCCAGGGACTATATATGCGTGTGTGTGTATATACATACATACATACATACAATGCAGTTTAAGAAACAAATGCAATAATAATGAAAATTGAAGAGAAAAAGTATAAAATACATAATTCCGTGTTGCGACAACGCTAAGCTACTAATGTCAAAATATTTGAACTATCTCTTTGAAATTAATGTTTTGTTGAGGGGGGGATTTTTCATCATTTACATTTTTATTAAGTTACATTTTTATTTTACTTTGTATAGAACACAAATAAATTCAGCTCAGTTTATACAAATTGGGGTTGAAATTGACTGTTGTTCTGTCAAACTAATCAGTGTTTCTCAATAACAGACAACAACTTTGCTTCAGGAGTCTGGCATTGAAAGGATTAAAGCGATTAAATTGTACTCTCCAATCTTTAACTTTCTATTTTAATATTTTTTCACTTACTTTTTTTGGCCCTTAACTTAAATTTTGTTTAATTTCTCTTATTTAGTTTTATTTTAAATTTTGAAAATTTTGGTGAATATATAATTTATACTCTGTAAATGTTTGATCTCTAGGTCTATTGATGTGGAAGATGGTCCAATAATGACTCTGTCATTTAATTTTAAACCAAGATTCACCTTTAAGGAGTAAGAAATAATTTTTTAAAATTTGCAATGGTGAATTTCTTTTTGATTGTCTGCAAAGCAGTGAACTAGATAGATTTTAAATAGTAATTCATTTTAATAATTAAAAGAAAGTGTTTTGTTTTATTTTATTTATTTTTATTTTATTTTATATTTATTTTTATTTTATATTATGTATTTTTATTTTATATTATTTATTTTAATTTTATATTATTTATTTTATATTTATTTTCATTTAATTATTTAATTAATTTTATTTTCCAGAGTGGTTATGAGGGTTTTAGGAAAAAATGTGAAGAAAGAAAAATCTTTTGAAAAATTGAATGATTTTATGGCAAGCACTGCATATGGTTTAACTGTCTATGTTAACAGTAATACCAAGGAAATTCAAACAATTCTTTCTGGAACTGCTTCTACTGTCAAAACAGTTGCTGTTCACCCTCATTTGTAGGTATTTACTAACTTGTTTACTAGCATTATGCCTTATTTATAAATTATATCATGTTTTACTTATAAAAGTATTTTTATTTAGTTTAAAGCAATATAAATTTTGATAAACTTAAAAAAAGATAAGATGGAAGAAAAAATTAAATTTTCTTGCGTCTATGATTAGATATATTTTTATATTTTTATTGTGCTCTGTGATATCTTTTTAAGTATGTTTTGGAATTTTTCTCATTAAGTCATATTCTAACTTATAAATAGAATAAGTTTGTCGGGTCACCATAGCAAACCCCCTCCTCTGCTCGTCTGTGCATGGTCCGATCATCAGGGGATACAGAGGAGAGCAGACGTAAATAAATGCTCTGGTTATGTTACGATGATTTAGTTTTAATGTACATATTCTATCTTGTTTAATTCTTAATAAATAATTTTTATCTTACATTCGCCATAATTTCTTCCTATGAATTTAAAAAGAACCCTACAAAGTTATTTTCTGTAAGACTTACGTAAAATCTATATTTATTAATTATTGTGGNCTTTTATATGTGATAATCCTTAGTTAGAGCATTCTCCAAAAAAACTTATCCAATATTTAGAATTATTTTAGGATATTTTTAGAGTTGTATTATTATATAAATGTTACAATTAATACCATAAGTTATTTTAGTGCTTTTATATAAATTTTTTTTCCTTGACTCTTTACCATGTCTTCAAATATGAAAGACCTTGTTAATAGCCTTGTACAGTGCTGACTTTCAGGAGAGAATATTATAAATTTAGGAAATGCTAATAATAAATTTTGTTCCTAACTTTTAAACAAACTTTTATTTTCTTGCATTAAATTGTGCTTTTCCTTAAAATATTCCTTTAAATAAAATAAATGCTTATTTTAACTTATATTAATGCTTTATTATATTTATTTATATTAATGCTTAAGGTAAACGTATTGCAACTTAAGATGTAGCATAAATTTTCTCTTTTTATTTCTGACAGTCAATACAAATATGGACATTCTGACTTTGCGGAGAAAATATTCTTTGAGAAGGCAGTCAGATAGTTTTTATCCCCATTATATTCTACTAAGTTAATTACCATTCATTTTTTTGTTCTTATGTGATTGATTTTTCTTTAATGTTTAGTTGTTATTAATTGATATTGTTGATTTTCTTGTAGTTTTTAATAGAACTATTTATTATTTTTTTTTTTGGAGAAACAAAAACTTAATATAACCTTTGAAATGTATTGTTGAAAAACTATCTGAAATATGTGGCCTGAAAAGTATGCATTATTATAAGGATATCTCCAACTTTTAAAATGTTACAAGAGAACTATGAATACAAAATAATGGACATAGGTATTCATATCAACCTGCATAATGATAATAAATATCTGCATAATGAAAAAACAGAAGAGTCTTGAAGTTAAGACCAATAATATTAGAACGAAAATCGCTTATGGCAATTATAAAGTTTTTCCAAATTTGGAAACATTAATAAGGGATGTGTTTTAATTATCTGTACTTATAATAGTTCTTGCAAATTGAAGCTTCTCAAGTGTTGTTTGACTTCATTCAATTAGTTCAATTTTATTCAAAAGAAATAATTCAAAAACTTTTCTGTAAGTTTTTTTTAAAATTTTTTTGCTCAGAATTCTAAAATTGTTTTTGTGCTTTCTTTTTTATTGCTTTCACAATCGCCCTTAAATATTAAAAGTATCTATTATATGCCAAATCAATATTAAATATCCTTTTATAGTAAGATCTTAAAAACTAGGATAGCTAGGTTTGCCATTTTTGTAAAGTTATTTTCGTTTTTATTTTCCAAATAGTTTATTATCTGGAAAAAAAAAACACTTTTTTTTCTGAAAATTTTTTTCTTGTGGAAAATTTTTCTAATATACTGAAAGTAAGTTTATATTCATGCATTATTAGAGCTGTATGAGTTAATCAATAATTTATCCAATTTTGGCTTAGTTGTATAGCTTTTTTTATTTTTTAAAGAAAACCTTTCTTTTTGACAGTTAACTTGATTTTCACATGCAGTGAGAAAGTAAATTTGGGGAAATTTTGACTGGTGGGATAACTGATTTTGCTGTCATTCCTCTTCATAATTTAGATGAACTATTGAAACTACATTAGGAAATTTGAGGAACTGTTTTTGTTTACGAACTCTAGAACTAATAACTGATTATATGTTCCTGTAGTGACTAATTTACCTTATGTTAATAATAGGATAAGTTTTTTTTTCTATTATATGTTTATTGTTAGCACCATTCTGAAGCTTTATTTGAATTTTTCGACTACATTTTAATGATTCTCTGCTCTAAATTAGTATTAAGATTGTTAATTTATAGAAGTGTCCAATTAAAGAAATTTCATGTTTTATTATTTAATAGGCCTTATATTTATTTTGGAGATGGTTTTGGAAATTTACAGAAGTGGAATTACAAAACAAAGTATGTTTTTTCTTTGAGCTATATACTTTTATTGAATGTCCTAGTAAAGAAAAAAATCTGCTATGTAAGAAAGAAACCAGATATTACCCCAAATTAAAGAAGCTGCCAATGGGTGGGTTAAATTAATAAATAATGGTCTGTGTGAAAAGTGATTTATTTTCAGTATTTTCGATCAATTGACATTTCAAAAACTTTTTGTCATGCTATTTCATATTTATTTTAAATCGCAGCTCCAATTTTATTTAAATTTTGACTTGAAATTTATTTAGTTTAGGATTTTGTAATGATTCAAAAATTTTTTTTTAAGATGAGGTTCATGTGAGTTTTTTATGTTAAGCTTTTAAATTTTTTCTTTATTAGGTAAATCAAATGTAGCAGTACCATTGTAATTGCTATTATTATTAATAATTTATTAATTAATAATTTAATGTTTTCTTTTTCTGACAACCAGGGTTATGGAGAAAAAGATTCTTTATAAAGATTCTAGTATTGGTGTAGAATATTTAACTGTTGACAGCACTGGTAACTATTTAGGTCTGTAACAGTTTATTTGAATGTAACATTTTAAAAATTTAGTTAATTATGCCAAGTTAATCTGAAATTTTGTTTAGGAATTAATGTTGTATCAAAGCTTTTTATTCACTTTAATTTCAATTTTTCGTTAGTGATTGATTCATTAAATTCGTCTTTTATTAGGCATTTTTTATATTGAAGATGTTTAAAATAATGCTCCATCTGGCTTTTGTATTATCAAAAATGAAATTTGCTTTAAACAAGCTAGTTTCAATTAAACAGTAAAAATCTATTCAGTTTCACGGATATCAAATCATTCCTATTTCTTTCTTTCTTTTTTTTCGATTTCTTTAAATTCATGTTTAAACTCTAGAATTATATAAAAGTTTGAAAACTGTAAAAGAGTGCCAAATGTTTCTTTTATGGTTACAAATAATTTGTCTTTTTGGGACCATTAATTAGTTTCAAATAGCTTTTCCTGTTAAGTACATTTAGTTTTGTGTTATGGATGACTTCTTAATTTTATGCAACTTTTTTGTAGTTTGGTGGGGCCACACTACCCATATTTATGAAATAATATTTTCTCTCTATAATAAAAAAATTGCATGTGCTAGTTATCATTTTATGTTGCATTTTGTATCACAACACAGACCATATTACATTAAAACAGAACATTTCTGAAGGTATATAGAGAAATGTACTGGGTATATGATGAAATAAGAAATTTTTATATTCAATAGTTGCTTATGATCATACAAGATAAACTGTTACTGGTGTGCATACGGATCTTCTAATAATTTAATTCTTCCAAACTGATAAATGTTTCTGAATTTTAATTGTCAAGATTTTAAGCAATTTAGCCCCACTGAATGTTTCCATTTTTCTCTGTTCAATTATTTTACTATTTAATAATTTTGATATAAGAATCTGTTAGTCATATTAAAAAATAAATGCAGTTCCATTTTGAATTGCCAAAAACACATACTGCTTTTTTATAGTTCTGAAATTAAAATTGAAACTGTCCAAAGATGTCACATTATCTTTATTTAATTTTATTTTTCAGTTGGAGCTTTCACAGATAATAGCATAGTAGTTTTTGATTGTATCGCCCTATCTTCTAAGCCCTGTTTTGTTTATGATCAGATGAGATTTAAAACATCTGCTATAAAATTTTCTCCAGATCCTCAATATTTCATTGTTGTTGTAAGTATGATTTCCAGCTTAATTTTAGAAATTAAATTTTGTTTAAAGAAGTCTTAAATAAATTGTAATTCTTCTTCTATTGGCATGACAGTCCTTTGTTGGCCAGAGCCTTCCTTAGGACCTTCCTCCATTCTATATTGTATTTTTTAGTTTTATTTTCCTAGTGCCAGATTAATCTGGACATTGTAAGTGTTTTTGCAAGTGCCAGCAATGAATAATGAAATATTACAGAATTATTCTTTTCCAGATAGTATTGATTTGTATGTAATTTTATTTTGTTTTATATGTTTTAATTTTCTCATTATTTTTAATAAAAACTTTTATTTATCAGTAAGTTTTTTAAAAGAAATGGTAAATTTAATGAGAGTGTTATCATTATATTTTGGAAAAAAATTCAAATGTACTGATAGGTCTAATTAAAGTGTTACACATTTGTGATTACATTATTTGAATTAATTTTTTTCCATCTTCATTAAAATGTTGAAGTGAATTTGAAATTTTTTTCATAATATTTTAATTTTAAAAAATATTATTTTATGGCCAAGTTCTTAATTAAGTTTGTTACCATATGTTTAGAAAAACTTGTTTTAATGTTGATATTTTTATTATGTTCTTTTTCTTGCATACTCATATTTCTCCTTGTGTCTGATGTATTTTGAAATTTAAAAAAAATTAAATATACTGTTGGGAGATCATATTAAAATGTCACATGATCTATGTAAATAGGAAAGCTTTAAAATGAATTACAAAAATAAATAAAATTAATGAAGTTCAAAAAAGAAGAAAAAGAAAATTCATAAAATTTGATAAAATTTAAAAAAAAATTTTATTGACCATTTTTATAAACTTTTTTATGTTCAGCTTGAAGGATTAAATGTCAAAATCTAAAAAAACGAGCAGCATTTTACCAATTAAAACTTATAAATCTTAAATTTGTATGTGGTGCTTCATTGAAAGAAATGTTTCAAAACTATTTTACTTGTTCTTATTTTTTTGAATATAAGTTTTCAGCTGTGTTATTTACTTCAAAGTTAATAACACAAAGTCAAAGTTAAATTATATTTACTCTGTCAAATTTTCAGGATGATGGATCTTTTGTTACTCGCTTTCAATTGCATTTACTAATACCCTCAGCCCTTGATCAAATCAAAGATGAGGGAAGCAGTTTATCTGAAGAGCCTTTATGGTGCTTTAAGGGCAAAACTCGTCAACACCGTGGTTATATTGTAGATACTCTTTTTAATGTTCCAAATGAAGGAGAAAACATATATTTCTTTACTCTAGGTGAAGATTTTTTAGTGGTAAGTGATAATTTTCTGAAAAAAAATTGTCACTAAAGCAATTAAAAGTAAAATTTTTATTGTATACTAAGAATAATTTTTAATTTCATTGTTTATTTCAAAAATCCATTAATTACAGTTTATTTTGGCTTTAAAAGAAACATCCAATTTTTGAAAATAAAAGATTTAATAGTCCGTAAGCATTGTGTGTTATTTTTTTATTATTAATTTATCTGAAATTTTTTTAGACCTATGAAGCTTGTGAAATGATTCTGCTAAAAAAAAGCGATAATAAAATTGAGTGGCTTGCTCTGCCTAAATTATAAATGAAAGTGCGAGTAGAAAAATGATTATTCTTTAACAATGTATGAGGAATAGTTTTCTTTTTTTTAAAATTATCTACTCAGCCTTGTTATTGTTGGTAATCACACACTTATATGAATAAAAAGTAGTAGCAGAGATAAATATTGCATACCTATGTCTTGCGCATGGTCACTTGTGTTTTAAGTTTGAGTTTTAGTCCAATGAATATATGCATCAAACATATTTAATTGGTTAGCATTTTATTTATAAAATTATATGCTGCTTTGCTCATAATAATTTACCCACGTTTTGTGATTGTACCCTTTTTTGGTTATTTTGATTATTAGATTATCTGCAGTTGTTGTCCAATTCTATGATTAATATAGCTCTATGAGTTTACTGTATTTATTTTTTATCATTGACTCTTCTTTTTATATTTTACTTTTTAATTTTATTGCAGGTTCAATATAACATATCTTCTTTAAGAAGTAAAGACATAGAAGTAGTTAAATTTATCAAGTTGGATAAAGCATCAGCTCCTATTTGCATGTGTTGGTACCCTTTGTATAATCTTCGTGACCTTTTGGGTGTAACTAGTTCTGATGTTAGTATTTGACATTTTTTAAAAATTTTATTACTATTAAAATGAAAAATTTGTAAACATATTGAGCTCATAAAATTATTTTAATTTATGTCACTTTAACCTCTACATTATAAAGTTGCATTGATGTGTTTTATCGTTGATTTGAAATGACTAATAAATTTAAAAATGAGTTTTAGTATACTGATTATTAAACTCTTTTTTCTTCTCCTTTTTTTTTGAAAAAAAATGGTATAATTGCGTTTTTAAAAAAAAATTCTTAATTAAATTGTTTAATTCTATACAATTAAGTATTGTCTCTGTACTTTGAAATATGCATGTGACCTCAACTATTTCAGATACTTTGACTCACTTCACATTCAAAATCTCATAAATTTGATCCATTTCAGAGAGAGTCACTTTCATGGACATCATGAAAGATCTTCATTTGTGGATGCAGAGCAACATTTAAACTCATTTAACCAATTGTAAACAGTTGCAAGCACAGAAGCAGATGTGCCATTAATTTCTTATATCTCATCTTTGATTACTTTCAGTGTTAAATTTTTAAAATAGAAGTATTTAACTACACAAAACTCAATTTTTCTCCATTTCTACTCACTCAACTATGACAATGTCACCAAATATAACTTTAAGAGCAATCTAGTGAAAAATGACAGGTTACTAAGAGAAAACCGTCATTTTTCATTCATTATCTTTCTGATATTCGAAGGATATATTTTATTTTACACCATTTTTTGTGTAATGTGAGAAATATTTATATTTAAGTATATCATATACAAATTGATTTCTAACTTGTTTTATGCATAATTATATTGAATTCAAAAAGGTTGCAGTGAAGTTAATTATATATTTGTATTAATTATGTGCAAGAAAGTAAAAATTTTTTTCAATATGTGAAAATTTGAATCTAATACAACAGATAAAAATATAAAGTTCAATGATAAAAATATAAAATAAAAAGTTCAACGTACTATTAGTTTGTTTTCATAAATAATAATGTAATCTAAATAATAATTACTGTCTTTTTAACAACAGATTCATAGATTTATATCATTTGGGGATAATATTTCTTTTGCTTCATATCCTCGAAAAAGTTTTTGAAGGCAAAAGTCTTAAAAGACGTTCCATACAGTCAATACAATCAATATGGATAAAAGAAAGAATTAATTGTTCTTCACCAGTGCTATCACTTTCTTTTACACTAATTTATCTTCTTTTGACTTACTGAGTGTTTTGGATGATATTAAGTAGGAAAACGCTTTTCTCTCCTGTAAGTAAATATTAAAATTTTTTTTTTTTACTTTTTTAGCCATAGAAGATCAAAACTTCTTTCAAACAAAGTCTAAAATTAACAAAAATTGAGGCTAATTTTTATGAAAATATTTTCAAAAGGATTAAAGGATAAAAAAAAATTAAAAGAAAAAAATGACAGCATTTGGAGAAATATTTATATTTTAGCAAATTGAAGTTGTATCACATTAAATACTTTTTATGTGATTTTTTTGTAAAGTATGCACTTTTATAATTTTTTAAATTTTTTCGTTGGTTTTAGGGAAAACTTCGTGTTTATGATATTGATACTGAGAATTTAGTACGGTTTGTTTCGTTGCCATCTTTTGGAGAGCCATATAAAAAGTGAGTGTATAGTTAAGTTAAAAACTAATATGAAAGTAGTTAGTAATTGTGACATTTTGTTGTCTATTATGGTAAAAATAAATGACTCAAATAGTATTTTATTAATTTAATTAAAATTACGCTATTAGTAATATTACATATTTTTAAGAATTTAACAGTTAGATCTTGTTAAATTTAAGCACTTTAAGAAAGGTTTTTTCATACAACAAAACTATTTTATTCCACAAAAAATAACCATTTTAGCAATTTTTATGAAGCATTTATGCTTATGTATACAAAAATAGTAACTTCTACTTAGGAACAAGAAAGCACAGCTTTTTGTTCAAAGACAGTTCATTTTCGAAGGGAAAAAAAACTATTTCACTTAAATCGCTGAATTTTTTTTAAACTTTATAATAAATAGCAAAAAGGCATTGATTTTTATAAAAGACTATCAGTAACTGTTTAGTCTGATAAGTCTATTGGTAATAATAACAACAGTACTAGAAACAATTTTGGTATGATTTTCGTTATTAAAATATTTGTTTACATACATAAACTTTCAAAAAATTATTTCAAAAATAGTTTGCACATTTTTTCTTTTTGAAATAAAGCAGTAATATTCTAAAAAGTAATATTGTAATATTACTTTTAATTGATATTGAGAGTAATATTGTAAAAATCAAAAATTTATTTACAGCAAAAAAGAAATCTTTTTATTTTCAAAATACCTTTCCTCAGATGGTCTCTAATGGTCTCATTTCTCAACCCACTTTTCAAAACAAGTTAAGAAGATTTTTTTTTTGGAAGCTGTTTCAAGGAACCCTGCACTGCAGAAATAACATCCAAATCTATATTAAACTTTCTGTCACGGACATCTGCCTTCAGCATAAGAAGTCAGATATCACATGATAAAAAATCTGGACTGTACCTGGAATGTGGCATGATTTTAACATTGTATTAAAATACACATTGCACACTGAACAGAAGTAACAATATGCAGGCAATCAAAATATGTTATGTTTTTTAACTCTAAATCATTGACTTCCAATTTTGCATTGCTACTAAAAGCTACTCTTGAAACAAGCATGAAACTAGGGAAATAAAAACGTCTATATCGTTTAGTATATTTATAAACATTTTGTTAACATTTTTAAAAAAAATCGCCTGCACTTTTATTTTTTAGTTTGCAGAGTGTTTTACATAAAAAAAATAATAACTCTTCGTTTTTATTGAATGCCCTTTGTACCTTTTGATGAGTACCTTTCAATGATACCATGCAAGTTTCCTTTTATTGCTGAAGCTGTGAATTAGCAATCACTTTCAAGAGTGTAGTGCACTTTATTATTGTTATTTTTTTTTTACAGAAATTAAACATTTTTCTCAAATTTGCAATAATAAAAATTGTGTTGATTTATCTTCTCAATTGGAAATTAAAGTTTAAATATTGAAATTATTATCAATTGAAAATTGAAATTATTATTAAAATGAAAATAATAGTAATGTAAAGGTCAATACTATTATGTGACAAAATGAAATATTTACAGTGCCTTTATTGGTTAATTTTTTCTAATTATTTTATGAACAGTTTTTAAAAAGATTTTTCATTTTAGAGTTAAATTGTTTTGCTATTTTTGTATGATTTTCAAATTTAAATAAATATAATTTTTTTTTATTGGTTTAATTCTAAAAGAAGTATTTCCCAATCAATTATTTTTTTTAAATAACAGATTTTTTGTTCATATAGGAATTTATATTTAAGCTATCTTGATGATGATATTGGCAGTGATGCAGAGTGTCTAATGTTTTATTCTGCTCATTTGATTGGTCTTACTAAATTTCCGGTTGATGGAAATCCTTATTCCAGTTTAGCCATCCCATCACATGTTAAAGGAGTAAGAATGGTTTTGAAATATTTAAATTTTTTTTAACTTGCCAGATTTGCTTTTTGGGATGACAACAAATATTTATGTGATTAAACAAGCATCTGAAACAAGTTTAAACGTTTCAAAAACTCCTGGTGATTGCTAAGAATGAGAAATTTATGAAATAAAGATAGACAGTGTTGCATAAAATTGAAATTTTACTTAAAACACAATACATAATTAATATATATTAGGGTAAAATCCTAGTGTACTTTACATGCTTAGCCTGATTTTGGAAAATGCCGTAAAAGCCAAACTATTGACGACAACGGAATGTCATTTTTACTATTGCCGCCAAGAATTGGTCTAGGCAAAAACATAGAAAATCGTAATCTGAAAATGGCAATAACAGAAACCTACCAGGAAAAAAAGTATGCCTGAAAGGCAGTAACCAACTGAACCTTGCCAAATGTACAACTACAGATTGCAAACTCGCCCTCCCAAACATTGTCAATGATGTAAATTCCACCATATATTGTATACTAGGTTTAAGCCTATATATTAAAAAACTTAAATTTTAAAAAATTGTTGTTAATTTATTTGAATTCTTTCAAAATAAATTATAATGTGCATGTAAAATCATTTTTGCCTTATTTTTAATTTCTTAAGTTATGTTAAACTCTGATTTCTCGAGTTTAAATTAGTTCTGACATTAAATTTGGTCTTTTTAGCTTGGTCTTTATTAAATTTGGTCTTATCAGAGACCAATAAATTCGCATAAAGGATTATACAAAATTTTTATATTTCAGATAAGTACAGCATTAACAAATTATGATCAAACATTTTTATTTACTGCTGGTGTCGAAGATTCTTGGATCTTTATGTATGAAATTAACTTTGGGTATGCATTTTTTTGCACTATTATCTAATATTTGATTTTAAGTATAATATACCTCAGGTACGTGTATATGTCATGGAGGTCTTAACCTAAAGGTATGACTTTATTTTAGGTTTGTATCTTATTTAATCCTTATTTAATAAAAATTTACTTTAACTTCTTATCAGAAAAAAGTATATTTGTTTATAAAACATGTTCAATTACAATACTATCTTTTAGATTTTAGACACTTTTTTATTGGTATGAATTTTTGCTGAAATTAGGAAAGTTTTGAAACATCTACTACTTAAATGAAAATGTAAATTTAAATATGAGCAATATTCATCAGTTTATATGTAGTTACTTCTTAGCTCACTAAATTTAATCTAGATATATATTTGCTATCCAAATAAATATTTAATCTCTTTTATAGTTGTTTCCAAGTCCACACTTAATGCTTTACAATTTTGAACTTTTTTTTAATAGGTTATTAATTTTTAAATGAAGTGTTTCACATAATATACACCTTTAGAAATTTATCTTCTCAGATCATTAGTACCAGGATTCCTTAGTGATGTTTGATCTTTTCTCCAAATCAGATTTAGTTTATAACACCGCTTGATTTTGGTACTTTTAATGTCACATTTAACATTTCTCTTTGAAGGCTCTTTGAAGTTTTCTATTCAATATCTAAAATAATGTATAAAATTGTATTTGTTTGTCTCTTAATTCCAGAAATTGCTTGTTATTGCACAGTTATCAGACTTTAAAAGACTCTGGATTGTTTTTATATTTATAAAAAAAAATTTGACTTTGTGGACAATTTTTGAATTTAGGTATAAGTATACTAGAAATGTTTTCATGTAATTCCCATATGGGTATAAAAGTTGTAAATCTATTTGAAATTGGGCTCAACAATATATGAAGTGAGGAAGAAAATAATACATAACTTTCATGAAAATTACACTTAAATTACAATAATTTTCAAATCGATTTTAAAAGTATTTGCATGCACATTCCTCAAGCAATAACTACTGTTGAAAACCATTTTTATTTGATTTATTTAGATTAATTTAAAGTTTAACATTTTGTTATTCTAAAAATATTTAGTTGGTTTTAAATTTCTTTTATTCTAGTTTTTTTATATTTATAACTTATTAAATTTTTTTTATTTTATAAAATGGCATGTTGTGTAAATATTTTGTGATTAATAAAGGAACAGCTACTTGTGATGTGATGAGTTTTCAAAAAAAGTAAAACATAGTGTAAATTTGTATTTAAGACATGTCACTGATTTGATGGATGGACATATGCCTATTTTATATTGTTAGTCTTAGATTACTATTTTTAATCAATTAAATTAAGACAACTTTAAGTTAATTGAATTTTCTTTTACCAACCACTGACATCGTTTGTTCTTGTAACTATCTATAGGTTTTAAACTTGATTTTTTTTACTAATGTTCACCAATAATTTAAAACTGATATTAACTGATTTGCTTTTGACTTTTATCTCAATTTTTATTATTTTTTAATTTTGCTCAAATTTAAACTTTTTAATTGCTCTTTTTGAAACAAATGTTTTAAATTATTTTAATTACTTGACTATTAATATTAGAGCTGTGCTTCAGTCTCAGAAGTCAGGTGGTCAGGGAATCGATGCCTTTCTTAGTGTATTACCATCCATTGAAAATCAACAGGATGTTAAGCAAAAACTTATATATGGTATATATGCACTTGAGTTGGAAACGTAAGTAAATTTTTTTTCTCCAGTTCTAGAATACTTAATCACTTTTTTATAGATAATTTTTAAATATATCATATATTGCTATTAATTTCAAACCAAATTCATTGCTAAATTCAAGTCGAGATGAATAATTTTTACAAGATGTATTTTTTTGTATCTATCTGTGAACACTAGGAGACTCACTAATCAAGGCAGAGAGAGACGATTGTATCATGGTTGGTTCTAACGCCACTTGCCACTCGGGCAAGCCTGCTTGGTGAAACCGAGCAAATTTAAAGCAGAGTGCGCGTTTCTTGTTTTTCAGTGGCGCCATCTATGGCCAAGAATTCGACTTCTGCCACACTATACGTCGCACCCGTTTATAGGGCCAACCCATTCATACATCCATTAATTCATCCACAGATCGTAAGTTTGACCTGAATCAGAGAACAATCGATCTCCAACCCAGTAACCCCAGAGGTATTGATTTGTTATGGGAGCATGGAGGAGTTTTGCGACTCGACAGATTTAACGTACATCAGTCACTTTACTACACGGTGATTCTTCGGCCGGTGGGGTTCAAACTCTCGGACATGGGCCCAGCTCCCTGCCGCCCAGGCTATCTTGGCCTTGATTGTGTCATAGGTCTTAAAACTAGGAACAGGACATGTGATTTTACCTCTAATTTGTTGAATTCTTTAAATCTTGACTGTTGATTCGTGGAATTCCAAGAATCAAATAATGTAATAATACACATATACCACAAAATATTACGATAAAATTTATATGTAGTTCTGCAAATTTAAAATTTAAAGTTTGAAACTTTCTCAAAATTTCATTGTCATGAAGTTTATTCCTTCCCTTACCATTATCCTTTTTTTTTCTACTGAGTCTTAATGATCCTCTTTTTTTTCTTTCTATGCACGCTAAAGTAAGTTTTTTTTTACTCCGATTAGTAAGCAAACAATTGTCAAAATGATCCAAAAACAAATGTATAAAACTGATAGTATAAGAAATTATTCCAATATTGTATACTTTTGAAAAGTTGCTGGCCTTCAAAGTGGTTATTTTTGTAATATTTTTTGGCTTGTATTTTAAAATATATATCATTATAAGGTTAGTTTGGTTTGATCAAAGCTAGACGGTATGAGGTCATCTATGAGATAGGCTTATAAATTTTTCGTCATTTGGCTGCAATAAAATAGAATCGAGTTAATAAAATTCCAATATTTTAGCATGATATTACAACTTCAAAATTTCAGATTGCACATTTAAGATTGCACTTTTAACATGCTTAACTCGCACGGTTATCCTAGTAACTCTAGATGGTGATCTAATGGCTTTTTCGATTATCGTGTTTGATTTTTTCATGGTTGTGTACCGATACAATATACCGATTTTCATAATAGTTTAGTCCGAATTCTTTACTGTATAGTGGATGCAGTTTTTTTGTAGAACTGAAGTATAATTTTTGGCCGTGTGAGATACATTCTAATCTTGTTATGAAGAAGGGATATTTATCCCAGAAAAATAAATTAAGTTGTTACGGAAACATTGATTTATTATGTAAATTTTATTATAATGAAAATGGCCACATTCCAAAATTCTAAAATAAAGAAAGTTCCTTAAAGGGATTAAGAGAATCATTCTTGTTCTCTCATCAAGAAAAAAAAACGTTAATTAGCGCTTGGACTGAGAGTCTAAGCCCCCACTCCTTACGCCAAGAATTAAAAAACTAAAGTGAGTTGTTCCCAACGGACAGTTAGGAACATGGGAAGAGATCCATGGTTGGCAATTTATCAAAAGATAATATAGCCAAAAATAAAGCCAACTTTATTAAAAATCTATTTATCTGTTTAAATTTGAAAATAATTAATTAAAAGCTAATCACCGTAAAGACTGGGAGAATTAGTATAAAATTTTTACAACAAAAACATTTTTGTGGTAGAAATAAAGGGTTATAAATAGATTTCGTTTTTGATTTAGTCACGACAGTGAATTAGTGAGTTTTAGATTTCAATTGAAATTATAAGTTAGTCGTTACATTGATTGTTAAGAAAGGAATAAAATATTTATATGAGCTTTTTATAAAATATAATAAAAATTAAGTAATTGGTTTAATTTAATTAAAATTCGATTAAGAATGATAAAAACAATTAATTAATGAAATTAGAGAAATTTTAAAAGCTAGGAAATATGTCATTCCTATCATGGCATCACATCGATATTTTTAATGCAATATTATTGTTAAGTGGGAAATTCGAATTGCGCATTTAAGAACCACTTTTTTATACACTGGATTACAGCATAAATTTTCGATTGTCATTGTGTTATATTCAAATGTAATATTGATTTACGATTTCTCAGGAAGTATAAAAATTTTGAGTGTTTGAATAGATGACTTATACACTGAAATATACGGTATTTAGAAGGATGTCAAACTTTTAAGTTCTGTTTGTTAAAGTTTTTCCTTGTGAAAAAAGCATTTCAATTAAAAATAATTAAAAATAATTTCAATAAGTTAATTTTTTCGATTTGTATCCTCAAGGAGCTTTCGATTTGTTTCCTTGTTATCATTTTCAAGGCGCAAAACAAAATTTAATTTAAAATACCAGCTTGGGCAGAAATAGATAAATTGTTTTATTATATATATATATATATGTGTGTGTGTGTTACGGTGAAACACCAAAATCTGGAGATGTCGACATTCACCGGTGAATGTCAACCGGGCTGTGGCACTTAACCTTAAAAAAACATCAGTGTAGGTTTAAAATATCGAATAAATGTACTTATATCATTGAATAAATTCATATCAAATCGAATGTAATAAGTATTTTGGACATTCACCGAAGCATATCTGTGATTGTCGACATATACCGGTGAGGGTCCGAATGCACAAGAATGTAATGAAATATTGGATCTTTCACTGACGTATTTGGTGTTTGTCGACATTCACCGCTGAAGGTCAACAACCACCGATTTCGGTCTTTCGCCGTGATATATATATATATATTACATAAATGTAATGTTTTGCTTTTTTATAATTATAATATTGTTTGCATCCTATTTATGCAATTTTAGGAAATTGCTAAATTTCGGTGCAGATCAAGATCCTGTTTTGAAAGGAGAGATACCAATTAATTGCTTAGAGTACATTATGGCAGTTATGGGGTATTTTATGACTCCAAAAGATGTAAGTAAAATTATCTTTAATTTTTTTAGTCTAAAGAAATTATTTTACTTTCACAAAATATTACGCGAAGCTTTAAGAGACTTGTAGGAAAAGATTTGAATCATTATACTATAGGAATTTTTGATATGAAACTAAAACATTTTATGAGCATTTTTTAAATGCAATGAAAATTTCTTCTAAGTTTTCTATGCTTAGGTAATTAATAACTTATACTATAATTGTGTAATTGTTTAAAGGCAAGTCAGCCAATTTTCTGTCATTGTGTAATTGTTTAAAAGAGAACTCAGCTAATTTTTCATCATTGTGTAATTGTTTAAAATGCTAAATCAGATTAAAAGTTTTGCATAACCAATTGAATAGTTCCTGAAAAATCAAATTTGATTTTTTCAGGAATTATTCAACTGATTGCTCGAATTTTGTATTTTGTCATGTAAAATTATTCACTTTAAAATTATGTAAAAATTTTAGACCTTATAATTAAAAGTTTTTTTGACAATTATTAAATAAAATAATAAAAACTAATAAATATTTACTAAAATTTCTTCTTAGCATCAAATTATCTTTGGATAAAGGAATTTAATAATTGTGGGTAAAACATTTTCAATTTGCTGAAAAAGTTCTCGAGATATGGCAAAATAAGCAAAAAAAAATTAATATTAAGGGGTCCAAACTTTGGATTGTTCTCCTGATCAAACTATGGGGACATATTTCACTGAATGCGCCTACCCCTTATATTTTTAGGGTCAGAAATTTGAATCTGTCGAAAAAAAGGCATGTATATTCATTGAAAGTCTGTTTTTCTATCTGATTTCGTAACTTAAAATATCGTCTGCACTAATTAAGATATTTGAGGTCACCTTCTTTAACCATTGAGCCCTAGAAGATGAAGATCTTATCATTAGAGCCAAAGTTATTCAGCATGATCCATTTTTTTAAAAATTTTGTACAATGTACACCTGACTGCTTGATTTCCTTTTCATTAATCTCTTCCTTACTTTCTAAATGTAACATTCCCATGCATGAATTGAAGTATATCTTACTTCTCTTCTGTATTTTTTTATAAAAAATTGTATGATATTCATTTTCTTATGTATTGAAATCTAGATCAAGTCATCAATAAGATTTTGTACTGAGTTATCTTTTAAAGTGTGTATCGTCCGAAGATAAAAAAAAAACGAAATTAATTGCGTTTGTTTTTCTTTTTAAAATAAAATTGTGAAAAAGAAGGATTGAAAACTTCTTTCTATTTAATATTTTTATAGTATCAATAAAAAAAAAATTTCAACTTTTTTTAAAGTAAAATTTAACTTTTTAACTAAATTCTGCTGACATTATGTTCATGTTTTAGTTACAGCTGATGTTAAATGATCTTGAGTTTGAAAACTCACATTTGCATGAAGGAAAGAAAACTACTTTAAATTGCCTTGATATTGTCAAACGTATGTTTTACGATTTGAAATTATGAATTACTTCTTTTATTCTATTTTATCATAAGTATCATGTGATTCATAATCTGGATATGCAGCTTTTGATGCTTCAACGCCATAGCTTTGCAGTTTTGAACCCAATCCAGATAACAGGGAATTTCTAGATAACAGGGAATTTTTTTTTTATAAATAGAAGCTAACCTGCTTTTGTGTTGCACTTGCATAAAGAAGAAAAAAGGAAAAGAAAAAGGTAGGAGGGAAACACCAATCCTTCTCTTTATTTATCCCATCTATGCTTTGTCTCTACTGGAAAAGGAAATTTTAATTAAAAAAAATTAATATTAGTACTTGATTTAACTTACAACTTTCTGAAGATATTTTTTATTGATTTCAATTTAGATATTGGGTATCCCAAAAATGACCAATGATTTTAAAAAAAGCAATTAAAGGATAACAGAAGAAAACAGAAATGTATCGTTAGCTATATTCTGTTAAAGAAACCTTTTGATTTATATCCCACCAAGTTTCAAAATTAGTTACAAATTTTATCAAAATTGTTGAGAAATTTTTTAAAACTGTTTTCAAATGAACTGTCATTTTCCGCAACAACCTAGTACAGTAAGAGGACAGAATAAATAGATACAATTGGCATGATCTGATGTTTTTGCATTTTTCCAGTTATGGTGCTGTTTGTTCATGAACTTTGTAATTGTAACTACTTATGAAATTTATTGACAACAAATTAATTGGTTTTCTTTGCAGAATGTAAAAAAAAAAAAAATAGCATTTCTGTCTCTTTCCATTTTTTTAGTTGATCCCGTATATGTATAATTTTTTTTCTTTGAAGTACAAATATAAATTACATAAATACCTATCTATACAACAACTAAAAGTGAGAGTTGTGACAGAAAAATGTAACAATGTAAACATAATTTGTTAAGGATTTTAGTTTCATCTCTTTTGCCACCTTAGAAGCTCTTATGTGTGATCTGCAATTAAATCAATCTTGTGTTTTTTAATTGGCTGTCTTATATTAATTTCTTCATAAACTTTAAGTGATAAGTTGTGTCAAAAAAGTGTAACTTAGAAAATCTGGGAAGAATTTTAGTTTCACTGCTTATGTCACCCTTGACATAAGCTTCTATATATGATTTTTGACTGTGTATTTTTTCCTTTTTCATCAATTATTAAAATAAAGTTAATTTCTCCTGCAGTGTATCTAAATTATAGACCTGAGGAGCCACTTAACCGAGAAAAGATTAAACAGTCTTTTAAAGAAGTTTTATCTGCTGAAGAAAATCCTGAAAAACTTGCCAGATCTAGTTTTCTTCGTATTTTGGAATTTCGAGGTGAGCTGTTTGATGTAAACTTCTTACATCTTGTTAAATTGTTTTATGTATTTTTTGCTTAGACCTGAGGTATTAAAATTCAGCTACAAAATAAATTTTGTAAATGAAATTTAGTTAATTCTGTAACCAAAATTTACATTAATGAATGCAATATTTTTTTTAATATAAATTTATGGTATTAAATGCATCCATTTCAGTACAACAAAAAGTATCATTAGACACAAAATTAAGAGAAATACTGAATCAATCGAGTTGCAATTACAAATGTTAAGTAGTAAGGAAAAGCTGAATATTGAAACAGTTGGGCCTAGTTGAAGTGTGAGGTAAAAACGTAAAATGTCGGGTACAAAACAAAAATGCTACAAACTGCATTTTGCACACTTCTTATGTTGAGATACTAAAATAAATTTTGAAATTATAGAGCTATTTACTATACTGTGTTTGAAGCAAAATTCTATCTCCCCACGCATGCAGACTCCCTAAACTGCTTTTCTTTGCAACTTCAGCTCATTTTTGCTCACTCATTAAACACTATTTTGTTTTAGTCTTGCTTTGTATGATATGTGGTAGTCTATTTAAAAGTTCTAAAAACAGGGGGTGTTAAATTTACAATTTTATTGTTTTGAATCACAACAGTTTTAGGTTCTTTATTCTTCCATGAACTCGTAAAAGACATGAAAACCAAAGAAAAGGGTAAGAAAGATGTCAAAAAAATAAAGTTTTTTAAAATAGAGGTTGTATTCCAAAAATATAAAAGTGGCTATCCAGGAAAAATATCTAAAATACAACATTGTAAATTTGGGAGTTTGCGACAAAGCAGTGACATGACTCCAGTGACTCTTAGACCTACATAAAACTTTTTTTGGCAGTCATTTTGCAATAGTCAGAAACAATCTGTTTTTCTATATTTCCATTTAAAGACATTCTATTCAAATTACTAAGTATGAGTATAACTAAAATATGCTCTAATTTATTATATAATCTGAGTAATGACATCAAAACTATAATACAGCTTTCTTATATGGCCAGTAAGCTTGAAAGTTTTCATTTCTCGTCCATTTATAGCTTAGTTTGTATTAGCTCTTTGATGCTAATTTGATAAAAGAACTTTAATTTGTTTTGAGTCACATTATATATGTGTTTTATTTAATATTTCTTTGTTTTTATTCTCTAATGTTTATAATAGGTGATCAGCTGCCACGCAAGGAACTTCTTACCATTCTTAAATGTTTAAAAGGTACTGGGGATATTGATACTCTACCAATGCAATTGGATGAAGGAAATATACAGGATAAAAACTTGTTAGATCCTGAGAATAAGATTTTAAATGATCAAGAAGAGTTAGAACGTTTAATACCTGATGTAAGCTTTTTGTTTATAACTGAGACATTAAGTGGGAAGTAAGAAGTAGAGAAATAAACTAAAATGCTACAAACTAAGTTTTACATGTTTGCATGCTACTTTATCCAAAACAAATAATTATAACAGTGCACAATAAAAAACAAAACAGACCACCCTGAATAAATTTTGATCTAATGATTGGATCCTCTCGTTCTAGATCTCAATCTTAATGGTTTGAAGGGGTTCCTCAAATATTCTAATTTATAAATGCCAACTCTATTTTAAGTAGGAAATCTGGCACAAAAACTTTTCAATTCAGTTTAAAAGTTCTCGAGATGTAGCAAAATATGCAAAAAGTAAAATTAACATTATGAGGTCCTAACTTTGGAGCGCTTTCCTGACCAATCTTTTGGGACCTTATTTCCCAGAATGTAGCTACCCTTTATATTTTGGGGGACAGAAATCCGAATCCGTCGGAAAAAAGTATGTTTATTCAGAGAAAGTAAGTTTTTGTGTCCGATTTCGTAACTTAATATTGTCTGCACTTCTTAATTAGCATATTTGAGGTCACCCCCTGGAGTCATTAAAATTGAGTCCTAGAACGTCAAGATCAGATGATTAGATCAAAAGTTATTCATGGTGGTCGAATGTTTTTTTGTGCACTGTACCTAGCTTTAAATATGAAATAAAATGCTATAACTTTTTTCCAATTTTATTGTAGTTACTGCTTTTTATTTAATTATGAATTTGAGTTTAGTTTAGTATTGCTCTAATATTTTTTGTATATTTTTTTCTTGTTTAAAATTGTATAGCCATAGTTTGTTTTTAAAACTTAAACTATTTGAACAGTTTTTTTTTTTAATTTTATTTTATTTCGTCTTGTTAATATCTGTTATTGAAATAACAACAATGCATCCAATTTGTGTTTCTAAATTAATATAAAAAATTAAAATAGAGTTTTTTCCTTATTCTTAAAAAAGAAATATTATTAAAATACACCATTCTTTTTTTTTAGAAATAAAACAGGCTGAACAGCATGATATTTATTTGATTATGTATCTGGGAAATGTAAGAATAATCTTCTCACACAAAAGGCAGATTTTACCATGTATTAAGAAGCTTACTTTGATTCAAACAAAATTGTATTTGATTTGAATACAAATTAAATTTTTTAATTTAATTTAAATAGTATATCATCTTATTGTGAGGGCCAAAATATACTGTCAGAAAACAACTATGGTTGATGTATTATTATAATTACTATTGATTGTTTTTTTTCCAGACCATCACTGAAAAAGTATTCTTGCAAGATGTACTTTGTTTAGATGAGCCAAAAGAAGACTTGTCAAAATATATTTTGAAAAAAGGTGATTATAAATTAACACAAGGCAAACCCAAAATTGAAGATTTTATTATTGCTGCTCAAGAACTGAATTTGTTTAATGAAACAAACAAATGACTTACAACTTAGTTTGCTACTTTCTCTTTATTATTTTCTGTTACTTTACAAAATTGGTTATAAAGATATTTGACATTAAAAAGCTGTTTATTTTTTATGTTTGTGCTACATTGGATACTTTAAATATTTTAGAAATATTCTTTAGATGCTGCAGTTTTACAAAGATTATTAATGCCAATGATAAAAGAATGATGCAGTTTTAAATATTGTTATTAGCATTTTGCATACCAATACAAAATCTAATATTAATTACTGCATGTAAGTAAAATTCAATAAAACTAAAAAAAATAGAAATAAAATATTGTTAACTTTTGAGAACAAACTATTCTTGGAGGGGACATTTAATACTAATAATTATTTAGGCTTGTGAAATGAAAAGAAAATTAGTTCTGATATTTTTATATGATCACTAATAACGAATTATTTTTATTTTCACTGAACCAAATTATCCAAAAAATTCAGTCATGATTTATAGTATTAATTATCTGGTTCCTTTGACTGCGTTAGTTTCTAATTTTGAATCTATTTTTTAATGTTTTTTTTAAATTTGTTATTTAATTTTTTTTTCTAAGGTAGAATCCTTGTTTTTATATAGCTTTCAGAATTATATTTTCTTTTATGGAATGTATGCAAAATTATGTCTGTCTTAAAACAACTCCAGTCTAAGAACTGTAGCAGAGAATAATAATAATAGATTTAAGTTGAGATTTAGTTTATTTGTTTGTGTTCAACCATTAAGCTGCTAGTAAAGGAATCAGTAATAGAGTTAGTGCAGTAGTTGGTTTGGAATTAAACAAATTAGCAATTCAATTGACAGTTTGCTGATTTAAGTTACTTATCTAGTGATTTAGTAAATAACATCAACAGACAATTGTAAGGAGTTTATTTTTATATATTTGATATTGAGATATAGTGATGGTTTTGTTTTGATAGTACATGCAAAGAAGAGAGCAAAAATTAAAATTTTTAATAATCATATCTTAATTTTTTTTTTACCATTTATCCCATTGTATGTTTTGATCAGTTTTATATATTAGATTTGTTTTCAATCCTAAAGATTTTTTTTAAAGCTATAACGATTGAGTAATTATTTTTAAGATTTTAAGTATTAACTCTCTTTTTGGAAAAGACTTTATATAAGTCATAAAAATCTTTGTTTTAATAGTTTATTTAAAATAAAATTTCTTATTACTTTATCAATTGATACTCCTTGCCACCTCAAAATTAAAATTTAAAATTACTCCCCAAGGAAAAGGAGGTAACATTTATATCATATTAGCAGATAGAAAAGATTTTTTATCAAATATAAAATTACACATATTATTATCAACCTCTTTTGAAAAAAAATCATAGGAAATAAATGGAATAAGAATGATAACAAATAAGTAAAATATGAAGATAATAAATACATTTTATTAACTCTAAGTTATGAGGATATTGTAATAAATTTTTCAGAAATAATCAAATAGGAATCAGAAGTAAAAAATTCTGAAAGTGCAATCATGAGTCCTATAAACTGAAAAATTTTGATAGTTTCTATCTATTCAGGTACTAATTTGAACTTTCTTTAAAACTTTTTTCCTAGAGATTCATAAACTTTTAAAATCTGCAGTATTCAGGGATGAGATTTTTCCGCTTTTTTCACTTTTATCTCTTGAATTTCAGCTTTTTTTTTTTTTTTTTTTTTTTTTTTTTTTTTTTTTTTTTTTTTTTTTTTTTTTTTTTTTTTTTTTTTNATGAATATAAAGAAAGATTGCAGAAAGTTTATCACCAAAATGTTAGAAACTTTACTGGAGAAATGTCCAATAAACTATTCTGTTGTAAGAAATGTTGCTTGCATCAATCCAAAATTAATGTCAGAAAACAAAAGCAAGTGTGTTCTAAAAATGAGAAACATATTAAATTACTTAAGTCAAAAAAGAAAATTGAGGAAAAAGATTGTGACAAAATTAATCTGCAATTTGCATCATGTATAGATTAATTATGTAATTTTTACTTCATGAATCGTTAAACACTTTATTTGTACATTTTTAATATCATGTATAGATTAAGTATGTTATTTTTACTTTACATCAAGTGCTAATTTTTTTTCTTAGTCCTAAAAAAGTGCTAAAAAAGTCTTAATTTTTTTTTGAAATAATTGAGCAAGAACCCTGATTACTGATTTCGTTATTTATCTAGTGATTTAGTAAATAACATCAACAGACAAGTGTAAAGAGTTCATTTTTTATTTATTAAATATTGAGATATAGTGATGCTAGCTTTGTTTCGATAGTACATGCAAAGTAGAGAGCAAAAAATTAATTTTTTAATAATCGTATCTTAATTTTTTTTTTTTAATATTTGACCCATTGTATGTTTTGATCAGTTTTATATATTAGATTTGTTTTCAATGCTAAAGAATTTTTTACGATTGAGTAATATTTTTAAAATTTTAACTATTAACTTTTTAGAAAAACTTCTTACCAAGTCATAAAAATCTTTGTTTTAATAGCTTATTTAAAATAAAACTTCCTATTACTTTATCAGTTAATACTCCTTGCCACCTCAAAATTAAAATTTAAAATTACTCCCCAAGGAAAAGGATTTAATATTTATATCATATTAGCAGATAGAAAAGATTTTTATCAAATATAAAATTACACAAATTATTATCAACCTCTTTTGAAAAAAAATTGTAGGAAATAAATGGAATAAGAATAACAAATAAATAAAATATGAAGATGATAAATACATTTTAGTAATTCTAATTTATAAGGATATTGCAATAAATTTTTCAGAAATAATCGAATAGGAATCAGATGTAAAAAATTCTGACAGTGCAATTGTGAGTCCTATAAACTGAAAAATTTTGATAGCTATCTATTCAGGTACTAATTTGAACTTTCTTTAAAACTTTTTTCCTAGAGATTCACAACCTTTTTGAAATCTGCATTATTATAACAAATAATTTATGATACAATACTGCAGAGCTCTTAAATTGGATTCCATGGAGCCCAGGAGATCAATGTAAGAAGTACCGGGAGTCTGCGGAACAATTTAAACCTTTATTATAATTAAAGTTCTTCAACCTTTGATTACAGTTTGCACAGCACATTAATGTGAACAGGCTTATCTGTCACTATTATATGTAAAATCAAAATATTGGAACAAACTATAAGTAGAAGCGGATAGCACATGAATGTTTCCACTGTAGAGCCTGATGTTATGGTTTTGGTTTTAAAACCTCTCATAAAGTGAATATAAGAAAACATAATTATTGTGATCTATCTGTTCCTATTTATTCTTCTCTCTCTCAATACACAAGAGCACTTGTAAAAACCAGCAAAACATTTTTACGAATATAAATTACATTATTGTACGTATGAGATTATTGGACCTGGCATAAAATGTCAAGAATTACAGAAAATTTGATAGCGTTTGGAAAAAAATGTTGAAGAAGGGATCCGTGGTTTTTATAACTTTAAGAAAATTTTGCATTTAAAGTATTATTATTATTAGAAGTGTGCATAGTACAAAAGAAAAATGGAGCACCGAATTTCATCGAATATTTAATGCTCCGAAACGACACTACTTTCCGGTACCCCTAATATATATATGTTTTGAGATTTGCACAGCTGTATGCTACCATAAAACGTAAAGATGTTTGGTGCACCGACTTAGTGTTACTTCATTAATTAAAATTAGAAAGGGAATGACAAAAATTTCATTATTTTTCATTAAAATGTAAAATGGTGCAAACTTTTGCAGTTGATATGCAAAATCTCAACCATATTTAAGGAAATTTAAATTTTTATTCTCATGTCTACTTTTTTTTGTCGATTGAGCGATAGGACACTTTAGTTAATTGGTTTTATCCTAGTTAGGTAAGGAGAATTAGCTCTTGTGGCGAAATTTTAAACCACTAATTGATGGTTTAATATATTAAATTTTGAAATAAAATGCTTTTTTTCTTGATGGATTTGTATTTTTCAGACTTAAATAGCGGTTGTAGTTGTAATTGGAAAAAACATGAGGGTGGTCTAAAAATCGAACCCCTTATTAGGTTGTTTTAGTTATACACCTATCTATGTTTTTATTTTGATTTATCTTTAAGCCAATTAAAATATTTTGCATACAATTATAAATCTTGTATATCTACATAAAATGATATCCGGAAGTTTTTTAATAATTATATTTTTTGTTCATTTTAACAGTCTGAAACTATCAAGATGTAATGTAAACTAATTTTGATATAATTCGGATTATAATTTCCAGATTGCGGCTACATTATCTCTAGGCACCCAAACCGGTATCCATTAGAAAACAATGTGTTTTCAAGTAAATTTTATGAGAAGTTTGGTAAACCAAAAAAAAAAAAAAAAAAAAAAAAAAAAAAAAAAAAAAAAAAANAAAAAAAAAAGCCTAAGTAACTTTTACTCCAATGATTAGATTTTCATGTATTAAAATTAAATTTTAATGATTTAAAAGGTTGACTTCAAATAAACTAATTAATTGTTTCTAACTATGAATTAAATAATGAAATAAGATATAAAAACGTACTTCCCCTGAAAACATAAGTTTTTTTTTTTTTTTGTTGACAGACTTGGAGACTATGGTTTCTATAGTTTTGTCGAGAAAGTGGTCTAAAGTTTGAGCTCCTTCATGTTAATTTTACTTTTTGCGTATTTCTCCGTATTTTGGGAACTTTTTGAGCGAGTCGAAAAGTTTTTGCTCATAATTATAAAATTCGTTTTGTACAAAGATTATAGCACGTAAAAATAGTTTTTAATGAATTCATCTTATTTAATAATAAACGAATGCATTTTGAATTGTATGGTATGCAAATTTTTATGCCGTTTTGAACTATGGAATTTTAAATCATAAAATACGAAATTAGAAAGTGATAGTTTGAACAGTTTAATTAAAATAATCTTATTTTTAAATGTTTATTTCACTTTTAATCGATTTCGTCAAAATTTTGTATTTTGTCAGTTTAAAATGACGCAAAACTGCACACCTTACAATTCAAAATTTTTCGTTCTTTATCATATAAAAAAATACAAAAAATTCTATTCGTTCGCGCATGCTTTAACTTTTTAT